TCCAGGAGGCCAGAGAGGGTGTCTGCCATGTGTGTGTTGGGAACTGAACCTGGATCCTCTGCAAGTGCTCTTAATCACTGAGCCATCTCTCCAGCCCCATTAGCTTAAGTGTTTGCTGCACAGAAGCAGAAGATCCTAAATTCAATCCCCAGCTCCGTTAAATCTGGGTTTGGGCTTATAATACCAGGGCTGGGGCTGGAGAGATGTCTCAGAGGCTAAGAGCACTGACTGCTCTTCCAGAGGACCTGAGTTCAATTCCCAGCAACCACATGGTGTCTCACAACTATCTACATGCCAGAAAACTGTATACATAGTAAATAAATAAATCTTAAAAAAAGAAAATAATAACACCAGGGCTGAGGGGTTATAAGAGGATCGTGAGAGCTCAGTGGTCTGGCAATCCTGTCAAAATAGTGAGTTTCAGGCTCAGTGAGAGACCCTGTCTCAAAAAATAGTAGAGCAGCCGCCGGGCGTTGGTGGCGCACGCCTTTAATCCCAGCACTCGGGAGGTAGGGGCAGGCGGATCTCTGTGAGTTCGAGGCCAGCCTGGTCTACAGAGTGAGTTCCAGGACAGCCTCCAAAGCCACAGAGAAACCCTGTCTCGAAAAACAAAACAAAACAAAACAAAATAGTAGAGCGCTAGAAGATATCTAACATCCGTCTCTCCACCACGTGTGCACACATGGGTGATGACAATACCACATGTGCATGTACCCCACACACATACAACCCACATGCAAGTGAAACACAGGGTATGTGAAATATTAAAATGATAGCTGGGATCTGGGCTTGGCTATGCACACCTATAATCCCAGCCCGTGGGAGGTAGGCAATGGAGGGCAGGGGTTCGGAGTCATCCTTGGCTACATGAACAGTTTGAAGCCAGCCTGGGGTACATGAGACCCTGTCTCAAAACCAAGGGCAGGGGATATGGGTGAACACGTGCCGACTGTGTACATGGCTCTCTGCACTACAGGAGGTGCGGGGGGGAGGGTCCCCAACTGTTACAGGCACAAGTTCAAGCACAGCAAACCAGACACAGAATCAGACCCAACGCCTAGCTCAGAAACAGCAGCTGGACGACAGAAGGCAGGGACATTTGTAAGAAAGGAAGCCTCCAAGGCACAGAGCTAGGCAGAGGCAGGAGAAATGCAGGGATGAGTCCCAGGAGGGGCCCGCCTGGTCACCCCAGCCCTCCACCAGCCCACCCGCCCTGTGTCCCATACCCTCTGCCTTCCACAGGTGATCGACTTTGGCTCGGCCAGCATATTCAGTGAGGTGCGCTACGTGAAGGAGCCATACATCCAGTCCCGCTTCTATAGGGCCCCAGAGATCCTGCTGGGGCTGCCCTTCTGTGAGAAGGTGGACGTGTGGTCTCTGGGTTGCGTCATGGCCGAGCTACACCTGGGCTGGCCTCTCTACCCCGGCAACAATGAGTATGACCAGGTACGCTACATCTGTGAGACCCAGGGCTTGCCCAAGCCCCATCTGCTGCACGCCGCCCGTAAGGCCCACCACTTCTTCAAACGGAACCCCCACCCCGATGCCGCCAACCCCTGGCAGCTGAAGTCCTCTGCTGACTACCTAGCTGAGACCAAGGTATGAGGGAAGCAAGGCAGGGTGAAGGCAGTATGTTCTGGGAGTGGCGGGCTGCCATATTAAAAACAATCTAGGTTAGACCTTGGCTGCGGGGGTGGGGGGGGAGGGGGCCCGAGGGAGCAGAAATTTGGGAGTTAGTTGTAACCTGGATGGATGGGACAGCAAATCAGAAGGTCACACCCACGTCTCTGGGTTGGACTTGAAGGTCTAGGTGAGGTGTGGAACCTGAGTTAGGTAACCGGAGGACCAAAGAACAGAGTTGCGTGTCCTCCCCATGGATGGAGAGATATGGATTGGAACCAGGATCTGGTATGAGGGGCCAGACTGGGCAGTGGAGAGCTTCCAGGCATGTGGGCAGAAGTCAGGGGGAGCCCTCTGGACTCCCACGTCAGGTGGTTTCTGGAGCCCTGGGTCTAGACACATCTCCAGCTGGTACCCCCCCATACCCCACCAGGTGCGCCCACTGGAGCGCCGCAAGTACATGCTCAAATCCCTGGACCAGATCGAGACGGTGAACGGCGGCGGGGCTGTGAGTCGGTTGAGTTTCCCAGACCGGGAGGCGCTGGCGGAACACGCAGATCTCAAGAGCATGGTGGAGCTGATCAAGCGCATGCTGACCTGGGAGTCTCACGAGCGCATCAGTCCCAGCGCGGCCCTGCGCCACCCGTTCGTGTCCATGCAGCAGCTGCGCAGTGCCCACGAGGCCACCCGCTACTACCAGCTGTCCCTTCGCGGCTGCCGCCTGTCCCTGCAGGTGGACGGCAAGCCGCCCCCGCCTGTCACAGCCGGTGCAGAGGACGGGCCTCCCTACTACCGCCTGGCTGAGGAGGAGGACGCTGCGGGCCTGGGTGGCGTGGGCGGCAGCGGGCCCTTCTTCAGGGAGGAGAAGGCTCCGGGAATGCAGAGGGCCATAGACCAACTGGATGACTTGAGTCTGCAGGAGGCCAGGCGAGGGCTGTGGAGCGACACACGGGCTGACGTGGTCTCTGACATGCTGGCCCCACTCAAAGTAGCCAACACTGGCCATCGAGTCCCTGATTCGGGCCCGGAGCCAATCCTGGCTTTCTATGGCAGCCGCTTGGCTGGCCGCCACAAGGCCCGCAAGCCCCCGGCGGGCTCCAAATCTGACTCCAACTTCAGTAACCTTATCCGGCTAAGCCAAGCCTCACCAGAGGATGCCGGGCCCTGTCGGGGCAGTGGCTGGGAGGAAGGAGAAGGCCGAGGGACCTCCACAGAGCCATCTGTCATCCCACAACGGGAAGGAGACGGGCCCAACATCAAAGACAGGACCATGGATACCGAGGTAACCAGGGTGCACAGACTGGCACCCAGCCTGGGTCTATGGTAGTGACAGGTCATAGGGCCATGCTTCTTAGAGCTGAAGCATTCTGTCACCTACAACACCCAGGCCCTAAGGTTCAGTAAACACTGACTTCCCACACAGGGTGACAAGGCTCAGCTCACACGAGCACCCTCAGGACAGCTCAAGGCTTATACTCTAAGGCTGGGACAGAAACTAGCCACCCAGTGATGGGCCTGTTAAGAAATGGGCAAGGTAATCCCAGGAAGCTCAAACAGGAGGATCGCCTCAAGGTCAAATTTAGTTTGGGTTCCATAGCAACACCCCAGTCTCAAAAATCAAATACCAACAGCACCTCCCCACCCAAAAGGGCTGGAGGTTTGGTTCTGCAGTAGAGAACTTGTCTAGTATCCACCAGCGAGGCACTGGGGACTCTCCTTCAGGGGCAGGTACACTGCTTACCTATAATCCCACGCTAGGGACAGGAGATACAATTTAACACTAGAGCATTTGTCTAAGACTCCCCTCATGACTCCCCAGTGAGGGGTTGGTAGCGTGGCCCTGGATTTGCCCATCATGAGCCTGGTCTTCCCTGGTCCCATCCCTAATACCTGACTGCCCTATGGGAAAGCCTTCAGAGGGAGCGAGGGCCCTCAGGCCTGCTCATCCCTCCTGGTAGCCGGGTAGACACGTGGGCAGGTACCCATACGTCTTGCTGATGGTCCTCTCACTTCTCCCCACAGAGGTCAGGCCCTGAGCTCTTCGATCCCAGCAGCTGTCCCGGAGAGTGGCTGAATGAGCCCGAATGGACCCTAGAAGGCATCCGAGGGTCCCGAGCTCAAGGGCTCTCAGCCCGGCATCCCCACCCGCACGGGCCACCCAGGGCCGCCAGCTTTCTGCAGCATGTTGGAGGGCACCACTGATGGGGTCTGAGCTAGCTGGGCTGGCATCCCCTCTTGCTCTGAAATGGCTTCTTAGAGCTATCTTTTGAACCTACAGATTATTCTTACAGAAAAATAGCTATCAGAATGTTCCTATTCCCTTGCCTGCATCCCACCCTAAACGTTGGAGGACTTCAGGGTCTGGCCTGAGGCCCTGAGGCCCAAGTCAGGGAGAGGGCTGCCCCTCACTGGCCATGACCGCGCCTGGGCCCACGCGCCTCTGTTATTTCAATAAATAACTGTTCCAAACTGTGCTCCTGCCTGTTAACCACTGTGTGAACCTGCCCTACCCATACAGAGCCCTGCTGGAAGCCACGGTCGGCCTCTGCCAGCTCTGACTGGTTGGCTACTGGCTGAGGCCAGAGGCCCCGCTATTACGGCACCGGAAGAGAAGCTGTGTTGGGCACAGTAACCTGTTCCCTAAATAAACTAAATTAAACCTGGCATGGTACAGTAGGTTTGTAATTCCAAGCACTCAATAGACTGAGGCAGGAGGACAGTTACAAGTTCAAGACCACCGGGCGTTGGTGGCGCACGCCTTTAATCCCAGTACTCAGGAGGCAGAGGCAGGCGGATCACTGTGAGTTCGAGACCAGCCTGGACTACCAAGCGAGTTCTAGGACAGGCTCCAAAGCCACAGAGAAACCTTGTCTCGGAAAAAAAAAAAAAAAAAAAAACCAAGTTCAAGACCATGACTCTAAACCAAAAGAAAACAAAAGTCAAGGGCTTGTCCCCTTGGGAATCTGCCCTCAGAATGTTCTGTGTTGGACACATGTCCATTAAGTTTGCAGACACCACGGACTATATCTGTAACGGACTGGACACGCCCGCTCGTTCACGCTCAGGACATGCTAAGTGTAAATGTCCTGGTGGGGATAATTCAGACCTGGCCCATGCTCTGGTCAGGTCTGTGGGTCTGTCTGTGCCTCCCCCCCCAGCCCCTGCCCATACACACTGGGATTTAGCAGTAGTTTCTCCCATATTGCTCTGGAGCATGCCCAGTCCAACACATGCTTGTCACACGCACGCTCAGCCCATGCCTGCCAGTGTGGTCACATACAGCCTTGGTGCGGTGCACGCTGAGATGTCTCCACCAGAGTCCATGCCGCCTGTCCCCTACCCGGCATCCCATCTCACGCCACCCAGTTAAGCACAGGCTGTACAGATAATTATTTACTTATCATAATCTCGGCCCCTTTGAGGGGGTGGGCCGAAGGTCCGGGCCCAGCATGCACCCCCCCCACTACTTTGGGGCCTGATCCTCCCCTAGCTCGGCGAGGTCCACAGGGGCCAGAGTGCCAGGCCAGCAGAGGTAGGGTAGCGACAGGATGCAGTGGAGAGATTGTGGAGCCACAATGGGGCGGACGGAAGCAAGGGCATGGGGACAAAAACCAGGACCGGGAGCTGAGTCCAGGGGGCCCGAGAAAGCTTTGGCCTACGTATTAGGCGGGGCCTCAAAGCAGACGACAAGCATTGCCCACGCCGTCAGCTGAGGTGTCAAGATTGTGGCTGTATAGGGAATTCCAGTCTCTCAGGAAAACATCTTCCAGCTGGCTGCGCAAGCCACCATGCCCATTCTGTGTCACCGTCAGGGAGGTGCCTGCCGTCTCTGTGAAGTAGCTCCCAGACCAGTTGGAGGTTCCTGGGGGAAGGGGTAGAGTCAGGGTCTGACGGAGTGGGCAGGCCCTCTCCCTTCCTTGGTTAGGTCCACGGTACGGGGGAGGGGCACTCACCAATGTACGCAGCACGTTCCGTCACCATGTACTTGTTGTGGTTAACACGGGCGTAGGGGATTCGAGCCTGGGCTTCATCCGCGGGGACCACAAACAGTTTCTAGGGGGAGGGGAGGATAGCAAGTTGGGGTGCTGCGAACAGCTCTGGGGTGGCAGACGAGGTATGTGAGTGGTGTCTCCAAAGGGCACTTGGCTGTTTCTCTGGGTGGGGTGGATCCTTGGACCAGAACAGGGCCTAGTGCAGGGCCTCAGTAAGCACCAGCCAGGTGGGGTGGGGAAGGGGCTATGAACCTTGGGGGGTGGGGGAGTCTCTTTTTCCTCCTCTCTCGCGTCCCCTTTTCTAGAGAAAGTCTGTCTTACCTTTGTCTCTCTCCCTTCTATTTTAAAGATTTTTAAATGTGTGTGTGTGTGCGCTGGTGCCCACAGGGGCCAGAGGGGAACGTAGGATTCCTTGGAGCTGGAGTTAACAGGCTGTTGTGAACTACCAGACATAGGATGCTGGGAGCTAAGATCTGGTCCTTTGGAAGAGCAGCAGGCACTGTCAACCAGAGAGCCATCTCTTCAGTTCCACAGACTCATCCCTCCTCCTCCTCTGCACCTGGCTTTTAGACCAAGCCTCACTACACTGCCCAGGTCGGCCTGAATTCACTCCATAGCCAAGGATAACCTTAACTTCCAGCTGTCTTGCCTCTACCTCCTAGGTGCTGGGATTGTTAAGTGTGGGCTCACCCCTGGCTTATGAGGTCCTAGAGATGAACCCAAAGCCACAGCCCCTCAGAAAGTCTTTCTTGAACACCAGCATACAGCCCGTGCCTTCTGTGTCAGCCTCACCCACCCCTGCCCCTCTCCCTGTGACTCCCCGCCTCAGGCACGGACCTCTGTCTGCCCTCTCCAGATACCGGCCAGCCGTGATTCATAGTTCCCCTCTCACGGCTGTATACTCTGAGTCATCCTTGTCATCCTTGTGGTTCAGGTGGGCTGTGTCCCCAGGACCGTGCACAGTGGAAAAGGCGTGGTCTGGGCTGGGTTCTTACCACCTGGATGTCAGAGTGGGTGTGGTTGTCGCGAAGAGCAGCCAGGGAGAGAAGGAAGGACCGCATGGACGGCTCAGAATGCCCCCAGCAGCTGACGAGCAAACGCACTTTGACGCCTCGTTCATAGGCAGCCCGCCGCAGACCGTCGTCGATGGCCGGCCAGAACCTGAGGTACCGCAGAGCAGGGGTTCAGGAGGAAGAGGCATATTTTTCTTTTAAAATTTTCTTATTTTGAAGCCGGGCGTTGGTGGCGCACGCCTTTAATCCCAGCACTCGGGAGGCAGAGGCAGGCGGATCTCTGTGAGTTCGAGGCCAGCCTGGTCTACAGAGTGAGTTCCAGGACAGCCTCCAAAGCTACAGAGAAACCCTGTCTCGAAAAACCAAAATAAAAAAAATTTTTTTCTTATTTTGTTTTTATAGACAGGGTTTCTCTGTTGTAGCCTTGACTGTCTTGGAACTCACTCTGTGGACCAGGCTGGCCTCGAACTCACAGAGATCCACCTACCTCTGCCTCCCAAGAGCTGGGATTAAAACCACCACCTGGCTTTTCCTTTTTAATTTTTAAAAAGATGTACTTACTGTGGTTTACTTTTTTTTTAAAGATTTTATTTATTATGTATACACCACTTCATGTATGTCTGCATGCCAGGAGAGGGCACCAGATCTCATTACAGACAGTTGTGAGCCACCATGTGGTTGCTGGGAATTGAACTCAGCACCTCTGGAAGAGCAGTCAGTGCTCTTAACCTCTGAGCCATCTTTCCAGCCCCTGTGGTTTACTTTTAAAGATATATTTATTTACATGCATAGTGTTACCAGATCTCATTATAGATGGTTCTAAGCCACCATGTGGTTGCTGGGAATTGAACTCAGGACCTCTGGAAGAACAGCCAGTACTCTTAACCTCTGAGCCATCTCTCCAGTCCCCTACGATATATTTATTATGTATACAGTGTTCTGCATGCATGCCAGAAGAGGGCGCCAGATCTCATTACAGATGGCTGTGAGCCACTGCGTGGGTGGGGTGTATGCGTGGGTTTGAACTCAGGACCTCTGGAAGAGCAGCTCTTAACCTCTGAGCCATCTCTCCAGCCCCTACTCATTTTTCTTTTAAGAATTTAATATTGTTTTAACTATGTGTAGCTGTGTCTGCTTGCAGATGTGAGCACAAGAGTATCAATGCCCATAGCAGACAAAGTGGCTGGGAACCAAACCCGGGTCCTCTGAAAGAGCTCTTACTGCTGAGCCATCTCTCCAGCCCTGAAAGACGTATCTATTTTTGTTCTATGTGTATAAGTGCTTGGTCTTCTCGTATGTGTGTGTCCACCCTAGAAAAGGCAGTTTTGGCTCTAGACTTCACCTTTGGCTTTGGGGCTCCCAAGGCCTCTCCCTACATTCTCATATTTCTCACCTCCTGTTCCTGGCTACCATTTGGTACCCAAACTCCTCTCATCCTCCCGTCTTTTGTTCCGAGACAGTTTCAGCCTGTAGCCGAGGCTGGTCTCCATCTTCCCAACTCAGCCTTTCTTCCAAAGGATGGGATTACAGACCTGTAACCACCATGCCCAAACTCCTCTCATGTCCTGTGTGTGTGTGTGTGTGTGAGAGAGAGAGAGAGAGAGAGAGAGAGAGAGAGAGAGAGAGAGAGAGAGAGAGAGAGAGAGAGAGAGAGAGAGAGAGAGAGAGAGCGCTCACTGGAATTATAGGCAATTGTGAGCCACTTGACTGGGTGTGGTAGGAGCAACATAGGTGTTGCGCACGGAACTGAGCAGCCAGCGTTCGGAACTGCTGAGCGATCTCTAGCCCGGATTCACCTTACTTTTTTAGGCAGGGTCTCTTGCTGAATGTGGAACACCCCAATTCAGCTAGGGTGGCCTGCCCGTGAGCCTTTGGGATCCACCTGTCTCTGTCTCCATATCGGGGTCAAAGACGCATGTTGTCATACGTGCCTTTCATTTTTGAAGTGCTGGGGACCCAACGGGTCCCCACTCACTCTTGCCTCTTCCCAGCTCCCCATCTTCTCTTCTGACCCCATATTCAATCCCCCCGCCCCACCCCTTCTTGGTGATGCTAAGTGTGAGCCTGGGGCCTCTAGCATGTTAAACGAGAGCTCTGCCGCTGAGCTACAACCCTTGCCTCCACACTTCCCACGGTACCTGCTCTCCTGCCTGGGCTTCCTGCTTGCCCTCGGAGGCCCCTCGGCCCTCCCGTCACAGGGGTTCCCCATCCCGAGCCCTGCCCCCACCCAGCGTACCTGCGTGGATGGGAGAACTCCATGGTGGGCAGGTAGTTCATGACTGCAATGTAGATGAAGCTCCGGGCATTGTCCACCACGTTGAGCAGAGCCTTCAGGTCTGGGGTTCGGCCACTGGGACACAGCGGCGGGGGTGCACTCTGGAGGCGAGGGGACAGTCAATACACGCGCCCTGCTAGGGGCAGCATCACAGTGGACCCCAAGTGCGGAAAATTCACAGGGAACCACGCGCTATGGAACTGACTGAAAACAGCACCCATAAGCCTGGCGTTGGTGGCGCACGCCTTTAATCCCAGCACTCGGGAGGCAGAGGCAGGCGGATCTCTGTGAGTTCAAGACCAGCCTGGTCTATAAGAGCTAGTTCCATGAAGGGAAGGGTAACTACCATGTTTTGCAGGTGAGGGAGCAAGCTCAGAAAGGGTAAGCTACTTGCCTAGGTCACACAGCCAATCAGTGTGGCGGAGACTGAAGAGCTTGGTTCCAGAATTCCTACTCTTGGGAAGCTTCTGATTCAGCAGCAATCATGTTCACTTTGCTACTTGGAGACTGGCTTGAAATGCAAAGTCCTCTTTTTTTTCCTTTTCCGGTGAATGTATACATATGTAGTATACGTGTGTGATATATGTGAATGCCTGGTGCACACGAGCTGTGGCGTGTGAGTGGAGGTCAGGGGACACTGCCATGTGTTGGTCCTTACCTCCTGTTTTATCTGAGACAGGGTATCTGCTTGCCACCATACCTCCGGGGGTGCTGGAACTAAAGTTCCTTATGATTTTGCTATTTTATTTCTGGTTGGTTGGTTTTACTGGAGACAGGATCTGATGTCGTCTAATCAATCTGTAACTTACTGTGAAGCCAGAATGGCTTTGAACTCCTGATCCTCCTGCCTCCACTCTCCCTGATGCTAGAATTACAGGCAGAGGCCACTTGGCCTGGCTAGGGACAGGGTTTTAGTGACACCTCCAGGCAACTGATTTGGAGATCTTGGCTCTGTGGTGTCACATCCAGCCCCGACCAGGCAACTCCTCATGTGTCAGGGGTCACAATAGCCCCTTTGCTCAGGTCCCGAGGAAACTGCAGCTCTAAGAGTAGAATTGGCCATGGGCACAGGAAGTGCTTATCTCTATGGAAGACTATGCGGAGGGTCCCGAAGATCATGTTCCCCTGCATCCATGATTCATGAGCCCTACCATGACTTTGGGCTTGATGGCTTGCTCAAGGGCAAATACAGGAAGCCCCAAATTGCCTTCCTCAACTGAAAAAAGTAGCAATAGCTACAATCAGTAAGTAGTGTTTGGTCTATCAAGCTCAGTAAATGTCCCATGAAAGAGTCAGTGCAGATGGTGGCAAATTCATCTACAATCCATCACTCAGGAGGCTGAGGCAGGAGGATCAAGAGTTGGGTGTAAGCTTGGGCTACACGGACCTGTTCCAGAAGAAAAAAGAGGTGGGCACTCGTGTAATGCTGGCATTCGGGAAGTAGAAGTGGGAGTGTCAGAAGTTCAGGTCTAGCCTCAGCTAAGTAGGGAGTCCCAGAATTATTTGACCTAGCCTCAAGAAACAAAAAAAAGTGAGGGGAGGGCCTCTGGTTCAGTGGTTAAGAGTGTGTGTCCTTGCCAGGCAGTGGTGGCGCACACCTTTAATCCCAGCACTCGGGACGCAGAGGCAGGTGGATCTGTGAGTTCCAGACCAGCCTGATCTACAGAGCGAGTTCCAGGACAGCCTCCAAAGCTACAGAGAAACCAATGCCTGGCTGTTTTTTTTTTTTAATTATGAGACACTATATATCTCTGGCTGGCCTGGTCATTAGGTAACTAGGCTGGTCTAGAACTTACAGAGATCCTCCTGCCTCTGCCTCCTGAGTGCCGGGAGTAAAGGTGTGCACCGCCATGCTTGGCCAATAAAATATATTTTGGGAAAAAAAAAAAAGACTGGGCGTGATGGTCCACACTTTCAAATTCAGCACTCGGATGGCAAAGGCAGATGGACTTCTGTGGGTTCCAAGCTAGGCAGGGCTAGAGTGAGATCCTGTCCCAAAGACAAAAACCCGAACCCCTGCCAAAGTTGTTCAAAGCCATCCTCGGGTACATCATTCAAGGCCAGTGCGGGCTACACGAGACCCTGACTCAGTAAAGGAATAAATGGATGGAGAGAGCCACCTGTGGCCGACTCAGACATCATCAAGGGCTTGGGGTCTCTGAACCCGTGTGTACCTCACACAGAGGTGGGAATGCCAGGATGTCCATTTTCCAGATGAACCCAGCGCTGAGGGAGCCTGATACACAGCCCAAGCTTTTGACCCAGGGCAAAGTCCAGGCCTCCCTCCCCAACAGGAACCAGGTGGTTCTGGATGGAGGCCCCAGGTGGTGACCCACATCCCACAGCTTACCGCCAGGTAGGCCAGAGCCGGCGTGCCATTGAGGCAGATCTCCATTGGTGTCTCTTGATTGTAACGGGTGTCAAAGGGCCGTGGCCAGGTGGAAGGAATGGAGCTTCCCGCCTGGCCTAGGAACCAGTAGGCCTCAAAAATCTTGGTCAGGTCTCGAGCGAGGCAGCTGCAGTTGTACATGACCACTCCCAGCTCCTTGACCTGCGGGAGACCAGTGCTGAGCCTGGGGACAGTCACCTGGGTGCTCATGGGTGTGGTCATGTTCTGTCTACCACCTCGGCCAGTGCCTCCCTCTGTCACTCAGAACTTTTCCTGTACTTCCACTCTGAGGAGCTAACACTCTAGAGCTTAAATGTGTAGCTAGAAACTCGACTTATGCTTTGAGAAAACATTCAGTCATTGCAAAGTTCCAGGGTTTTTATGTCTGTGGCACTGGGTATTGCAACTAGGGCCTTACACACAACAGGCAGGGGCTCCACCACTGAGCCACACCCCCAGCTCCTCACTGGGGGATTCCAGGCAGGGGCTCTACCACTGAGCCACACTGCTGGCCCCTCACTGGGGGATTCTAAGCAGAGGCTCTACCACTGAGCCATGACCCAGCCTCTCACTAGGGAATTCTAGGCAGGGGCTCTATCATTGAGCCATGCTCCCAGCCCCTCACTGGGGGATTCTAGGCAGGTTCTTTATCACTGTGGTCTATCCTCTACCCTTTTAAAAATCTTTTTTTTTTTTTTTTTTTTTTTTTTTGGTTTTTCGAGACAGGGTTTCTCTGTATTGTTTTGGAGGCTGTCCTGGAACTCACTCTGTAGACCAGGCTGGCCTCGAACTCACAGAGATCCGCCTGCCTCTGCCTCCCGAGTGCTGGGATTAAAGGCGTGCGCCACCACCGCCCGGCTTAAAAATCTTTTTGAGAGGATGTCTTGGTAAGTTATCCCGGCTGTCCCTGAACATCCTGTCTCAGACTCTCGAGGATCTCGGGTCAGTCCTGGAGCACCAGGCCCTGTGAGCTGCGTGTTTTCTGAGACTGCATGCCTGTTGCTTCTGAGACTTTGCATGCCTGCTGCTTCTGCCCTACGGCAGCCAGCTGGAGCTCAGTCTCAGGTGTTGGCTCCCCAGACTGTGCCAGGCATCTCCTGGGCTCTCAATAGGCCCCACTGGGAAGGGGAACAGACACGTAGGAGTACCATGTCTCTTTAGTATGCCCCTGCATAGCTGTTGAGATTAGGAGTCTAGGCAAGTATGTGCGGGGGGTGAATTAGCGTCACGTCTGCTCTGTTCCCATCACTGCCTGAGTCAGTCCCTATTGTGCTGGTCCCTGCTGATGTTTCAGGCCAGTTAGCTAGATCCTTCTTTGGGGACCCTTCCCCAAGAGCCCAGGTTTGGTCAGATGTCTGCTTTAGACTTCTACAGTGGTCCACTGTGTTTCCCCTAGTCCAGTCCTGAGCTCTGCTTGTGCCTCCTCTGCCTTAACTTCCCCATTCTATCCTTGATTACCCTGCCCTCGCCACCTTCGACCCCACCCCCAAGCTCCTGCCTATGCCTCCACATCTGCTTTCGCCACCTCTGTCCTGTCTGATATGACCCTCTGTCTGCCTGCATCTCCATCACCCTGACCTGTCTGAACCTTCCATCCATGCTGGATCCTCTGCCTACATCCCACCTCAAACCTCCACCTAGATCCCCATTTGTACCTGTACCCACACCCACCCACGACCCTCTGCTGCACCCCCATCCCACCCTGACACGGCTCATACGACCATCTCCCCCCAGCCTTTGTTTCTTCCCCATCCTGCCCCTGAGCGCTCTGAGCTGTGGCTGCCTGGTGACAGGCCAGGCTCCACACTGAATTGTACGCACAGGAAACCTACCTGCTATCCCCCCATGTTCCCCGAGTTCCCTAGGCCAGAGATGGGCTTCAAATACAATGTACAAAGAAGGCCAGGTAAGTGGATTGGACCTCCAGTGCTGTCCTGACAGCTGCCAACAGGACTCACAGGGAACCCTAGGCTGCTGCAGAACAAGGCAGTTGAGGGCTGAGCCACGGGACGTATACGGAGGTTCGGGAGGAGGCAACGGAGGCGGGCAGGGTACACACAGACCTGGGTCAGCGAGCGCCAGTCCATGTTGGCACTGCCCAGGTAAAAGTGGGTCTGATCCACCACCCAGAACTTGGTGTGCAGGACACCGTGGGTCAGCTTCTGCATGTCCACCATGCGGACCTGGGCACCTGTGACCAACAGCAGGGACAGCAGTCAGGGGCCCGCTTGGGCAGCCCCAGGCCCGCCTCCCTTGCTATTGCCAGCTCACCAGTCTGTAGCAGGGACTGCAGATCAGCCAGAGGTCCGTTAGGTTTGCTCACGGCGATTCGAACCTTCACACCTCGAGGTGCCAGAGCCTGGAGCTGCTGGAGAACCTCTTCCCCCTGTAGGAGACAGCTGCTGAGGGGCTGGGCCAACCAATGGTCTGATTCCACCTTCACAGGTTCCCCCATAAGAAACGAACAGGCTTCCCTTTAACCTTCTTACGTTAGAGGACTCAGAGATTATGATACTAAAACCCTTCATCTTTCTTTGTGTGCGTGTGGTACTGGGGATGCAACACAGAGCCTTGCATGTGACAGGCAAGTGTTGTGCTCTGAAGTCACACACACACTCCCCTTTTTGTAAAGATTTTATTACTGTGTATATGTGTGCGCATGTATGTATGTGTGCATGCATGTATGTAGGTACACATACATGTGGAGGTCAGAGAACAACTTTCAGAAGTCAGTTGTCTCCTTCGACTGTGGGTTCCTGGGATTGAACTTAGGCTGTCCGGTCTTCGTGGCAAGCGATTTTACCTTCCGAGCCATCTTATCGGCCCCCACTTTTCTATGTTAGCTGAACGCAAGAGTCTCCTTAAGTAGCGAGGGCTGACCACAAACTTGATTTGAAGCTGCAGCAGGACTTAAACTTGAGATTCTCCTGCCTCACTCTTAGTAGCTGGGACTATCGTGGCCTGTACCACAAGGCCCAGCTTCCAGAATGCTGAGATTCCAGGTGAGCACCCTCATGTCAGGCTTAACAATCATGACTTTTTTGTTGTTATTGTTTTGTTTTGTTTTTCAAGACAGGGTTTCTCTGTGTACACTGGCTGTCCTGGAACTCGCTCTGTAGACCAGGCTGGCGTTGAACTCACAGAGATCCACCTGCCTCTGCCTAGGATTAAAGGCGTGTGCCATTATCGTCCGGCCTAAAACAGTCCTATCTTAACAGTAAACACTCACTGGACGAAATTTGCACAGATTAAACCCAATGCATCCTCACAGGAGCCCAGCAACGAAGCAGTAAGCTGTTTGCAATTTCCAGATTAAGGTGCAGGAAATCTGGGAGGGGAGGGGATCTGCCTAAGGTCATCCCCAGCAAGGGAGTTGGAAGTCTGGCTTGGGTTGGGCTAGAACTTGTTCCTTCTTTGTGTGATGGGTTGAGGGTGACATCTGCAAGCCTAGTCCATCATAACCAAAGTCGACCCTCGACCTTCAGAGGCCTCCAGATAATCAGGTCACAAAAACACCACCCTTTGGACCGACAGCCTCCAAAACAATACAGAGAAACCCTGTCTCGTAAAAACAAACACCACCCTTAGCTCAGAAAGTTGTCTGAAGACCTCGGTTAGTAAACACCCGTGTCCAGTTGGCCTGTAAGACACCCCCACCTGGCTCTGGGGTGGCAGGAACTCTCTTTTATTCCCTCTCCATTGCCACGACTCCCACGGCCGGTGGGCCTGGGTGGGAAGGGGGGCTTCCGGGTACCTGCTGGGCAGAGGGCTCTTGCGTGTGGGTGTCATTGTTGGTGAGGGTCCAGTAGAAGGAGGCGATGTCCAGGCTGCTGTGGGCACCGGCAAGGAGGCCCAACCAGGCCTGGCTAGTGGAGGGGTTGCTCGTGGTGGCGTTGGGGAACTCGAGACCCTCAGGGATGCTCTCCACCAGCACTGCTCTGAAGGTATGGAGGACATCTGTCAGTCATAGAGGGCCAGAGATGACAGGTTGGGACAGAAAAGCTCTGCTGGTCCCCAGATGTGGATGGAAGTCTGGGGTGTGTGTGTGTGTGTGTGTGTGTGTGTGTGTGTGTGCGCGCGCGTGTGTGTGCCTGGTCTGTCTAGAGGTGTAGGAGGGATGTGTGTGTGTGTGCGCACACGTGTGTGTCTGGTCTGTCTAGAGGTGTAGGAGGGATGTGTGTGCGCGTGTGTATCCACAGATGTAGATGGGAGATGCTGTGCCCATGTGCTCACAGACCTGTATAAAGAATGATGACGCTGTGGCTGCCATGGAAACAGCAAGGGGGGGGAGTGGGCATGGACGTGGGCACATACAACCCCCTCATCATAGCACCGGGTGCACCAAAGCGCATGTGCTCTTGCAGGCTTAATCCCTGGGCTGGCAGGACCTCTCCCATCCACCGTCCAGCTCCCTTCCACTTACTCGCAGGGGTCATAGCAGGGGGCTGGTCGCTGGTTGGGTCCAAATAGATGCAAGTCCCCGTATTCCCATAGAAACAGCTGAGTCATCAGGGCGCCGAAGCCCACCACTGCCAGGATAAGGACCAGCAGGACCCAGCGGGCTTTCTGTGGGGAGGGAAAGGGAAACTGTCGGCTTGCCCAAGACCGGTCACCGAAACAGTCTCTGAGAAAGTTCAAGGGAGCAGCTTACTCCTACCTTCTCCGCTGCCTTCCACGCCTCGATTTCATTCATGGGCAGCTCTCCCGCAGGCTCCTCAACAGGGACCTTCAGCTGTGGGATCAGGAAGGGATGACGGGGGAGTGGGGGTAACAGGATGGTTTGGTGGGTCTCGAACCCTTCAAAACACCCAGCCCCTCGCCCACTAGGCTTCCCAACCTCCTACCTCCTGGTACATCAGTTTAGGCTTCATATTGCCTGGCAGCCGGGAGACTGCGGAGCCGAGGCGGCAAGGTGGGTGTGTCAGGGGCTGGAAACTGGGAAAAACAAAAAGCAGCCAATGTGTGGGGCGGTCTGGGCTTTCAGGGGAATCGCAGAAAGTGGACGTTCCTGGGCTTATGAGATCCACCAAAACCCTCTTCTCCGAAGATCACGGGGGCCCTTGGCCCTGTGCCAGTCACCCCAAAAGGAGGAAGCTGGTCGCGCTAGTCAGCAGGGATGTTGAAATCCCTGAAGTCCAACGCTCCCCCCCCTCCAATGCCATCATCCCGCCGCCTTCCAAAGCCTCCAGCTCGTCCGTCATCAGCGCCCACGTTGCTCCCCATCAGCACCCCTTTCTGCTCCCGCTGAGCTCTAGGTAATTCCAAAAAGACATTCCTAGCTGGGGCCCATGGCGCCCCGAATCTCTGTGCCTGGCTCTTCTCAGCCTTGGGATGACTCACGGAATGCACCAGGTGCAGCGTCCGCCTAGTCCCAGGTAGATCTACCTGACCAGACACCCGAGACTCACAGCCCAGGGCCATGGTGGCCTCCCAGTCCCCACACCCCGCGCCCCAGCCCCCCTCCCTAGTACGACCCCCGGTCTTACTCCGGCGGCCGCAGCTCTCTCGGCGGGGCCCCAGCTTCTGCTGAAGCAGCTGAGTAGGGGCGGGAGGGAAGAGGAGGCGGGGCCTCCGCGGACCACGCCCGCTGCAGCGGGGAGTCTGCGCACTGAGCGCCACAGCCGGCTCTCACCGCAGCGGGGGAAGGGGGGGAAGGGGGTGATCCCCAGCAACCTGGGCTGGCGCGGAGGGAGGAGGGGGAGAGGGCGCAGGGCTGGGGGGGGGGGATGGGCTTTGTCACGCTCTACCCCAGTCCCACCATACCCTGAGAGAGCCCGAAAAGTCAGCTCACCCTTTTTCTGATCTACAAATGTGAATTTTTGGACCGCAGACACCTAGTGAAAAACAAGATTAATCGTGAAGACGCTCATAAGATAAAATGGGGAGCTCAAGGTTGAATAATGTTAACTGAAAGGGACAAGCTCGGCAGAAGACGGCCCATGCGATGGGATGGGAGAACGGTCGCTGAGGGCTACAGCGGTGGTGGGTTTTCTGGTAGTCTGTTGGGACGACGGTATTTTTTTTTCCCCCTTTTTTGAAGTCAATTGATATTTTTAGAGATATAAAAAAAGATCCGAGGTTTCTAGATCCCACATTCTATCCAAGTAGGATTTGAGATTGTTTTAATGCTATTTACTTAGGTCTTTTGAGCCCAGGCTGGTGCAAATCAGATTTAAAGCTAGGGAAATAAACAGGTGGTCCCTTCTCTCTTCTCTCCACCTAGCCAGCTCCAAACACACAGGAAGTGACAGAGAGAGCCGGCTTTGCTGTCAAGACACACAACAGCCTGTGGTTGCTTCTAAGGGCTGGCCCTCTTGGTTTGTATATGTTACAGAACTTCAAATCCAGGGCATTGCAAATGCCGGACCAAGGGGCTACATCCCTAGCTGGCTTTCTAATTATTAATCAACTTTTTGGGTGGGTGGAACAGGATAGTCTTTAGCTCATTGTATAAGGCAAATTGGGCTTTTAGCAATCCTGTCTGAGTCTCCCAAGTCCTGGTATCAAAGACCCACTGCACGAGGATATCTATGAAGTCCAGGCCAGCCTGGCTGCAGAAGGAGACATTGTCTCAGAAAAGAAAACAGGCTGGGTGTGGTGGTGCACACTTTTAAACCCGGCAGGCACGCAGGAAGCAGAGTTCAAGGCCAGCCTGGCCTACATATCCAGGGCTGCACAGAGAAACCTGTCTCAAGAAAGAAAAACCAGGATCCAAATACCAGCAAGCAAGGACAAGTGGCAAGGTTATCTGAGGCTGAGGGGAAGAAGCTATAGGAGCAGAAGATAGCAGCCTTGGAGTGGGTGAACTACAGGGTGAGGGAGGAAGGAGAAAGGAAGGCTTGACTTATTTCTGAAGGCTTTGATGAGAAACGTTTTACTGAAGAATACAAAGTTGGAAATGGGGTGTGAAGGCACAAGTCTGTCGTTCTAACACTTGGAGGTGAAAGCAGGAATTCACCAGGGGTTGAAGGTCAGGAACTCAGCTACAAAGAGTTTGAGACAGGTCTGATCTCCAGCACGAATAAAGCGGGCTGGAGAGATAGGTCAGCGGTCAAGAACAAACACCGCCCTTGCAGAGGACCTGAGTTGAGTTCTCAGTCACACAAGAGCAGCTCACGCCCCATGTAACGCCAGCTCCAGGGAAGCCAATGCCCTTCTGTCACACGCACATATACTTTTTTTTGGGACAGTGTCTCTCTGTGTAGCCCTGGCTGTCCTGGAACTCATTCCATAGACCAGACTGTCCTGGAACTCATAGAGATCCCCCTGCCCCTGCTTCCTGAATTCTGGGATTAAAGGCATGCACCACTACCACCACCTGGCATAAATAAATCTTTTAAAAAGTTAATTTAGCAGGACGTGGCGGCACACACCTGTCCTTCTAGCACTCTCTAGTTGGAGCCAAGAGGACTGGTGAAATTTGAGGCCAGCATGGGCTATACAGACCCTGTATACAGAGTCTGTATGAAACAACTAGTTGTTAAATTATTTGAAATGCTATGTTTAATTTCTTTAAAATTCTTATTACACTTATTCTGTGTGTGGCGTGACGATCATGTGGAGGTCAGAGGGCAACGTGCAATAGTCACTTCTCTTTTTATCAGCAGGACCAGCAGTCTGAATCCGGGCAATCAGCTCACTGACAAAAGCCTTTACTCACTGAGCCATCCTGCCTACTCACAATTTCACAATTTCTATAGAAACCAAAGTGTGATTCGGCTCAGGCTCCTGGTTGGGGTGTCCCTTCTCCCCACCCGTAGCCTCCAGAGACCGGTGGCCTAAGCCGGAGCAGGAGTCGGACCCACAGGGTATGGGGGCCGTGACAGGAGTATGACCGGAGCATTCAGGGCAGCTAGTGAGAGAACAAGGTACACTGGGGAGGACGGGGTTAACTCCATCCTCAGAGAAAGCCACTCTGAGAAATTCCCAGAGTGGCACAAGGCTCATTCAGCTTCAGCCAAGGAACCATAAACAGTTCCAAGGTTCACCCAAACTGTGCCCACCCTGGACAAAGGGACCCCATCCGGGTGGTCAGGCAATGACTAATTTTGGTAAATAACATTTTCTCGCCACAACTGTCCTTGTGGGCAACCGTTAGTAACAATTTTGAACCCAACAGGTCACCCACTCTTACCCAATCCTGAACAGGCAAGGCACATACCACCCTGCTTGCGGGTTTTTCCTTTATAAACCCCTCACAATTGAGGCCAGGCGCCCTTTTCCTGCAGCTGCGGGGCCAGTTTGCAGGATGGGGTCCCTGCTGAGGCTTGTAACTTAGCATTAAACCTAATGCGTTTGTATCAGTGAATCGGCTCCTTGGTGGTCTTTTTTTGGGTCTCACAAACTTGGCATAATAGCTAGAAGTTGGCATTCCTCCATGGCCCATGCCACCTTTATGCAGGTGTCCAAAGACCCTAGCAAAATCAACCCAGCTGATTTCCTGATGTTTCCTTTTATACATGGGGTGCACCTCAGCCAGGAAACGTACCTGTTTCCCGTCCACAGAATAGCCCTCAGTTCCTTGGCCTGTGGTCCTGTCTGTGTTCATGCATGACACCACAATCTGCAGACAAGGAGGAAGCAAAACAGGCTGGGATATTTTTTTTTTTTGTGGTTTTTCGAGACAGGGTTTCTCTGTAGCTTTGGAGGCTGTCCTGGAACTCTCTCTGTAAACCAGGCTGGCCTCGAACTCACAGAGATCCCCCTGCCTCTGCCTCCCGAGTGCTGGGATTAAAGGCGTGCGCCACCAACGCCCGGCAGGCTGGGACTTTTTAAAAAATTTATTTTACTTTATTTTTTTCAAGGCAGGGATTCTCTCTGTAGCTTTGTATACCAGGGTGGCCTCGAACTCACGGAGATTCACTTGCCTTGGCCTCCCAAGTGCTGGGTTTAAAGGCATGCTCTACCACTGTTCAGTTTGGGATTTTTTTGTTTGTTTGTTTTCGAGACAGGGTTTCTCTGTATTGTTTTGGAGGCTGTCCTGGAACTTGCTTTGTAAACCAGGCTGCCCTCAAACTCAGAGAGATCCGCCTGCCTCTGCCTCCTGAGTGCTGGGATTAAAGGCATTCGCCCGCCACCAACACCTGGCTGGGATTTTTTAAAAATTATTTATTTTATATGTAGGCTGTTTGCCTACATGTGTGCCTGTGTACCGTATATGTGCATAGCACTCAAGGAGGCCAGATCACTTAGAACTGGAGTTACAGACAGGTGTGAGCTGCCATGTGGACGCTGGGAACTGAACCCTGATCTCCGAAGGACAGCCAGTGCTCTTAAGGGCTGAAGCATCTCCCCAGCCCTGGCTGGGCTTTTGAGATAGATGCTGGATACTCACCTTCAGATGAGCTGCAGTGGGAGACTTGCCATCAGCAAATGCCTTGGATGGGATAGTTCAGGGTTCAGATCCCATCCCTGCCACTTTCTTGCTAAGTGGCTTCAGTCTGGGTTTTCTGAGCATAGCTGGCCTCATTTATACAGCTGGGATCATCTTATAGCTGGGCCTAGGGGATGTACGAATGTTAGTTACATGGACAAGCCCTGGGCTCTAAGCTCAAGACTAGGAAATCTGGGAAAGGTGGTTGCTTCCAGTGAGTCTCACAGCCATTCTCCTTTTTTCCTTTTCATTTGAGATAGAGTCTCTCTACAAAGCACTGGCTGATCCTCCTGCCTCTACCTCCAGAGTTCTGGGATTTCTTAGGGGGGTGTGGGTTTCAAGACAGGGTTTTTCGGTGTAGCTTTGTAGACCAGGCTGGCCTCAAACTCACAGAGAGCCACCTGCCTCTGCTTCCTGAGTGCTGGGACTAAAAGCGTGTGATGCCACTGCCTGGCTAGGTACATTCTTTTTGAGACAGTGTCTGAACTATGTAGTCCTTGAATTCACTCTCTCTCTCTCTCCTCCTTCCCTCTCTCCCTCCCTCCCTCTCCCTATGCTAGGGGTGAAGCCAGGACCTTGTGGTCTCATAAGGTCACTCAGTCCATCTCCACTTTCTAGGTTGTTGGGATTACACCTGGATCCCGTTCTCTCTCCAGTCTTTTACGTAGCCCTGGCTGGCCTGCAACTCACTGTGTAGACCAGGCTGGCCTTGACCTCTTGCCTTTGCCTCTAGACAGCAGGGACTATAGGAGTGCCACCACCCGCCTTATTTCTTTTTGTTTCTCTCTTTTGAGACAAAGTCTTGCTAGGTGGTCCTACCTGGCCTGGAGCTCACTGTGTAGATTAGATTGTTCTGCAACTCAAAAAGAGATCTGCCTGCCTCCACCTCCCGAGCATTGGAATCAAAGGCATTCTTGTTTGTTTGTTAATCTTAAAATTACACTTTGTTTGTTTATTTATTTTTTTGTGCATGCTTGGTCCGAGGAACAAGTTACACAGGTCCAGAATAGCATCACAAATGATAAGTACTTCTGAACTAGAATGCAAAATTCTAAACTGTCCCACTCCTGCTCAACACCTTTTTTGTTTGTTTATTTTTGGTTTTCTGAGACAGAGTTTCTCTGTAGCTTTGGAGCCTGTCCTGGAACTGACCAGGCTAGCCTCGGACTCACAGAGATCCACCTGCCTCTGCCTCCGGGAGCACTAGGATTAAAGGCGTTTGCCACGACTGCCCGGCCCTACCTTGTTTTCAATGTCTTCAATCCTTAGCCTGAGTGTCACCTCTTCCTTCAGTCCTGGGACTTGTCCTAGACCTCATGTGTATCTGCTTGGGCCCCTGAGAGTCTGGTCCTGCTTTGGTCTGTCCCTGTCTATCAGGCTCCCCACCCCAGTCCCCTCCCCAGCCCCCACTCTTTTTTTAAATATTTTATTTATTTATTATGTATACAATCTTCTACCTGCATGCCAGCACAGGGCATCAGAGCTCATTCAAGGTGGTTATGAGCCACCATGTGGTTGCTGGGAATTGAACTCAGGACCTTTGGAAGAACAGTCAGTGCTCTTAACCGCCGAGTCATCTCTCCAGCCCCCCGCCCAGTCCCCACTCTTCATCAGCCTTCCAATCAAAAGCTCTGTGGCTCCCTTAGGTCCTCGGAACAAAGTCCCAGCCGCTTCCCGTAGCCCAGTGAGCAGGTGGCCTCTCCCTCTCCATCCTTCAGACCTCAGCCACCCAGTTCCTTCAGAGACTACACATTCAGACTACACCTGGGTCCTCTTCCCGGTGCCTCCTCTACCCTGTCCCCAATTCTCTACCTGGGCTTCCTATCTTAGTCCCATCCTCTATCTCAGCTCCAACCTCTAGGTGCTGGCCCTGCCTGCTGATGGCTCCCTTACTCCCACAGAGCTGTGAGCCCTATGGGACAGGCCTAGGCTGTTCTAGTCACCCCTGCGCCCCAGCACCTGGGCACAGATCAGCAGGTTATGCCAGGTTACCCAGTTCATCTATCTACTCATGCAACTAAATCTACCCAGTGAGTACCCATGGATAAGCTTTAATCTGGAAACAGTACAAAATGCTGAAATCCCAGCACCTGGGATGCTGAGGCAGGAGGATCATGAGTTCCAGGACAGCCTGGACTATGGAGTGAGACCCTGCCTGAAAAAGCAAAGCGAACAAAAAGAAAAAAAAACTAGAGACTGGAGAGTTGGGTCAGTGGGCAAGTGTGTTTGAATCTCCAGCAGCCACATAAAGGCTGGGTGTGGCACCTGTAACCCTCGTGCTGGAAGCCTCGCTGAGCTCAAGATTCTGAGAGGCCTTGTTTCAAAGGAATGAGGCAGACAGTGGCAAAGGAGCCCATTGATGGTGTCCTTCTTTGGCCTCTGAGCATAGGCACACACTTGCAAATATCCTCCACAGGGCCAAACAAAACAAAGAAGCCCTTCAACCCAACAAAACTACATTATTTGTTTTTGTTTTTTTTTTTAGTTTTTCGAGACAGGGTTTCTCTGTATTGTTTTGGGGCCTGTCTTGGAACTCGCTCAATAGACCAGGCTTGGTCTCGAACTTACAGAGATCCACCTGCCTCTGCCTCCCGAGTGCTAGGATTAAAGGCGTGTGCCACCACTGCCCGGCCCGTTATTTGTTTTAGTGAGACAGGGTCTGTGTACCTCAGGCTAGGCTAGAAATTTTTTCAGCCCGAGACAGGGTTTCTCTGTAGCTTTGGAGCCTGTCCTGGAATTCACTCTGTAGACCAGGTTGGCCTCGAACTCACAGAGATCCTCCTGCCTCTGTGTCCCCAGTGCTATGACTGAAGGCAGGCACCACCACCGTTGCCGGACACAGGCTAGATTTCTTAACCCTCCTGACTCAGTTTCTAGAGTGCTAGGATTTCAGATATGCATCGCCACAATGGACGGACACACAGACAGACAGACAGACAGACAGACAGACAGACAGACACACACACACACACACACACACACACACACGACAAGGTCCCTCTATGAAGCTCAGGCTGGTCTGCAACTTACGATGCAGCTAGGGATGACCTGAACTGCAGATCCTCCTGTCTCCATGTCCTAAGGGCTGGCTGGGGTCACAGGTGCCTGACATCACCCCAGACTCTGAAACGACAAGATGACCATGCATTCTGTGTCACCTTCTAACCCATCATATAATTGACTTAGTTATTCACTCATTGTCTCTTATGCCAACCAGTCGGGGCTGGAGAGACGACTCAGAGGTTAAGAGCACTCGCTGCTCTTCCAGAGGTCCTGGGTTCAATTCCTAGCAACCACATGGTGGCTCACAACCATCTGTAATGAGACCTGGTGCCCTCTTCTGGCGTGCAGACAGAACACTATATACTTATTATTAAAAATATAAAATCTTCAAAAGAAAAAAATAAAGATCAAGGAGTCTTTGTGTTCCGGTCACTTATTTGTCCCCAGTGCCTAGCACGGTGCTGGGCACATGAAATCTTTAGGAAATATGTTGAACAAATAACTTGTACTGTCTTTTCTTCTCCTTTAGCGTTTTTAGGGGCTCACATAGCCACTCTGGCCTCAAACTCACAGCAAAAGATGGCTGTGAACTCGTGTTCCCCCTGCCTCAGTCTCCTAAGCGCTGGGGTTAGAGGTGGTAGCCACACCCCTGGTTTTCCCTATGTTTTCATCTATACTGCAGGCGTGTGAGCCTAGGCGTAGCAGGGAGTATGCACACTGTTAGGTCATGCAGCTAACAACCAAGGAAGGCTGTTTGTGGAGGCATACACTGATGGGGGAAATGTTCTTGTTCGCTATAAAGAATCGTCATACATAGTGGTTTAATAAAATGCCGACTGGCCAGTAGCCAGGCAGGAAGTACAGGCGGGGCTACCAGACCAGGAGAATTCTGGGAGGAGGAAACGCAGAGATGCAGTAGCCAGCCAGGTGCAGAGGATGCAAGATGAGATGCCTTACTGAGAAGAGGTACCAAGCCACGTGGCTAAACATATTTAAGAATTATGGGTTGAGCCGGGCGTTGGTGGCGCTCGCCTTTAATCCCAGCACTGGGGAGGCAGGTGGATTTCTGTGAGTTCGAGGCCAGGCTGGACCGACAGCCTCCAAAACAGAGAAACCCTGTCTCGTAAAACCAAAAAAAAAAAAAAAAAAAGAATTATGGGTTAATTTAAGTTGTAAGAATTTGTTAGCAATGGGCCAAACAATTTATAATACCACCAATGCCTGGCTTGTGGCATAAACCTTTAATCCCAGCACTCGGGAGGCAGAAGCAGACAGATCCCTGTGAGTTTAAGGCCAGCCTGGTCTACATAGAGAGTAACAGGCTATCCAGGACTCCATAGTGAGATGCTGTTTAAAAGTACAATGGAAAAAACAAACAAACCAATCGTGGAGCCAGCCCCAGACTCTCATGGCTAACTAGTATAAAAGAATGCCTGAGCCAGACCCTATGTGTTTGGCACACATCTGTAATCCCAGCACCAGGAAGTTGGATGCAGGAGGATCATGTCACGGTCAGTCTCCTCAATTACACAGTAAGTTCAAGACCAGCCTGTACTACATGACTCAAAACAAAAAAGCACTGCATAAGACAAGTCTAAGCGACCTCTCTACATGGTGACTCATCACTACAGGTTTGAGTTTTGTTTGTTTGGAGATAAGGTCTCACTCTACACTCTTGGTTGGCCTGGAACTCCCTATGCAGATGAGGCTGGCGTTGAACTCTTGACATCTCAGTCTTCTTAGTATTGGTACTAGAGACGTGTACCACCAATGCCCGGTTCACTGCTGAGGTCTGGTTAAGGTGAGTTCCTGCTTCATGTCTCTGCCTGCAGCCCCCCACCCCTCATTGTAGAAGTCCAGGGAGAACTAGGTTTATTTTTTATTTTTATTTTATTTTTTATTATTATTATTATTATTATTTTGGTTTTTCGAGACAGGATTTCTTCTGTGGCTTTGGAGGCTGTCCTGGAACTCGCTTGGTAGTCCAGGCTGGTCTCGAACTCACAGAGATCCGCCTGCCTCTGCCTCCCGAGTGCTGGGATTAAAGGCGTGCGCCACCAACGCCCGGCTGAGAACTAGGTTTAAATAACCTACCCAAGCCCTGCTTAGTTTCCATAGCACTGGCTACCTGCCCCATGAGGGGCCACGCAATGCAACAGAACAAAGAGACTAAATGCAGAAGCAAGCTTGCTGATGGTTCACACAGTTTGGATCCGTGACTACAAAGTTGCCACACAGCAATCCTAGGGCGCTGTGGCTGTCTGTGGTGGCAGAGTGGGGTTGTTGAACACACTGACATTATAAGACAATGAACGTAGGCCAGATTGGGAGAGAGTGCAGTGTGTGTGTCATGCATGTGATGCATGTGTGTATTCGTGTGTATGTGAGGATTGTGTGTGCACATGTGTGGAAGCCAGAGGTCAAAGTCAAATGTTTTCCTCTATTCTTCAATTATCATTACTATCATTATTATTATTTGGTGATGGGGAAGTCCTGTGTATGTCAATAAAGCACTGTTGGCTAATAGGGAATCAAGATAGGTGGGACTAGTAGTTGAGGAGGATTCTGGGAAAGAGAGGCATAGGCAGTCATGATGTAGCCGCCACAGGAATAAGAGGTCCGGACCCTTTTCTCCGGTAAGAGAAATACTTAGATTAGCAATTATGGGTTAAATATTTAAGTCAGAGATAGCCAATAAGAAACCAAGCAAACGGCCAACAATTTCATAATTAATAGAGTGTCTTGTGTGTTATTTGGGCACTTCAACTTGGCAGAGCCCAGGAGGCTGGCAAGGATAAGGCTACACTCTACAATTTGGTTTTTCAAGACAGGGTTTCTCTGTAGTGCTTTGGAGGCTGTTCTGGAATTCGACCGTAGATCAGGCTGGCTTTGAACTCAGAGATCTGCCTGCCTCTGCCTCCCGAGTGCTGGGATTAAAGGCATGTGCCACGACCTACTATCATTATTTTAGGCAGAGTCTTACGTGGAAGCTCTGTCTGGCCTGGAACTCACTACAGCTATATAGATCAGGGTGGCTTGGAACTCATAGTGATCTCTTTGTCTCTGCCTCTGACTGCCGGGAGTAAAAACATGTGCCACCCACTATGCCTGACACATCTTTTATTTTTTGAGACAGTATCTCTTGCTGAATCACTGACTTGATAAGACTAGCTGGCCAGTACGATTGGGGAATCTGGTGCTGGAAAGATGCTTAGAGAATACTGGTCACTCTTCCAGAGGACCTGGATTCAATTCCCATACCATAGGGCTGGTCACAACCATGCATAATTCTAGTTCCAGGGAGACTGATGTCCTCTTCTGGTCTCTGTAGTCACCAAGCACACATGTAGTTCTCAGACATATACACATGTAGGCAAAACATCCATATATATTAAAACAAAACAAAACTTTAAAAAGAAGAAAGACCCAAGGATCTGCCTATCTCTGTATCTGGAGCACCAATGATTGCAGATATGTGCCGCCACATCTGAATTTTTACCTGAGAGCAGGGGATCCAAACTCAGGTCCTCATCCTTGCACAGCAAGAGCTACCCCCAGATCCTTCTACCCAGGCCCTTGACATGCAACACAGTGATGACAGAGTCATGAGTGAGGGTGATGTAGGCAGTAACAAAGTGACAACATTAGCCCAAATGTTACAGTAAATTAACTGTGTTACAAGAACAAGTTATTAGGGCTGGGCATGGTGGCCAGCGCCTACAGGCAGAGGCAATGGGATCTTTAGCTACACATGGAATTCAAAGCCTGCCTAAGCTATACAAGACTCAACAATGAACCAAAGAACAGATGATCATATTTTTCACACTTCTCCCTGGCAAGAGCATCCTTATGTGGTTTTGTTGTTTGACAGTCTCATGTAGCCCAGGTTGGCCTCAAACTTATTATGCACTTTACCTCCTTAGCACTGGCTTTAGAGACACACATACCTGCTGACCACTGTGTGCAGTTTACAGATGGAAAAACAGGAATGATTTGGTGGCCAGGGTTATGCACAGGCTAAGGGGTGAAGTTGGGACCTTGGCATAACCCAGTCTTTAATACCCCACACTGTGGAAATCCGTAGAAAGTGTACCCATGGAGGGAGGCAGCTGTGAGGCTGGATGGCCACTTGTGGGGACAGCTGGAGTCATGACATACCGAAGGCAGGGTCAGGACCACTGTCATTAGGGGGAGATGGAGACACTAGGGTGGTGTGAGGGGAGTCTAAGGGGGGATGGAGACAGGGATCATGGGAGTAACTGATATGAAGAGATGTAGTGCGAGTGAGGGTTTCATGAAGGAGAAATGACAACAAGAAGGATGTGTGGGTAACTAAGACAATGATGATAGAGAGAGATTGGCTCAGCCGGGCGGTGGTGGCGCACGCCTTTAATCCCAGCACTCGGGAGGCAGAGGCAGGCGGATTCTCTGTGAGTTCGAGACCAGCTTGGTCTACCGAGCGAGTTCCAGGACATGGTCCAAAAAACAATACAGAGAAACCCTGTCTCGAAAAACCAAAAAAAAAAAAAAAAAAAAAAAAAAAAAGAGATTGGCTCAGCCTGCCTGTAATCCCGGCACTCAGGAGGCTGAGCAAATGGATCAAAGATCCGAGGTCAATTTGTGTTACAAGGGGACCCTGTCACATAAATAGAGAAAACGTCACATCTAAAGCCAATCAAGGCTTAAGGGGAATAAGAAAGAGTGAAAAGAGTGGTGGGCTGGAGATGGCTAGTCAGTTGAAAGCACTGGTTCTTCCAGGAGACCCGGGTTAGAAAGTCAGCACCCAGCTCAGGCGGCTCGCAATCATTATAACTACGAACCCAGTGACTCTGACGTCTTCTGATCTCCTCGGGCAACTGCAGCCACAGATGCACAAATAAAATATTTTTAACGGTGGGGGCGATGTAAGGTGAGGTCGCGGCGACAGAAGGTGATGGCGGTGACGATTTAAGTGGGATCTGATTGAGAGAAGGAATGGGGGCACCTAAGTGGGCCAAGGACGAAACAGGAGAGATGCATTACAGACGAGAGAGAGCGCCCCAGGGAGGGCGGCCGAGGCGTCGCGCCCCCAGCCAGAGCGCACAGTACCTTGCTCTCCTCGGCTTCTGCTCCGGAACCCGGCCCCGCCTTCCCGCCCACCTGCGCGCAGGCGCATTCGGGCTGAGAGGAGGAGCCCGGGAAGCGGCGCGCCGTCACGTGACCGCGGCCCACGCCCTCTCTCGCTGGTCGGCGGCTGCCGGGGCTAGAGCGGTCATGGTGGGCGGGTCAGTCAGATCCGGTATCCAGGGCAGGACTTCCGGGGCGGGGGGCCCCGGCAGAGGGAGGAGTGGCTGACAGTTGGCGCGATCCGGAGGGCGGACGAGCGGCTCGCCGGGGGTGCGGGCCCGCCGGGCCAGGTGAGGTGCGGGCCCGGGTGGCGGGGCCGGGTCGGAGGAGGCTGGGGAAGGGGATGCGGAGTGCCCAAGGGTCTGGAGTCCCCGTGCGGGCCACAGTGTACGGCCAGATAAAGCGGCTTCTTTTTCCGAGCCTCAGTTTCCTCCTCTGTGCAATGGGGGCCCGAAGCGGGCTGTAGCACCCCCTTGATGGGAGGTCAGCTCGTGCATGCCGCGGCTGCTCTCAGCACCCGCCTCGTTGCTCCTCTGTCCTTGTTGGCGCTGATGCTGGGGACCTGCGCGGGAGATAGCAAGGCTAGCAGGCCCGCGGCGTGGGTTCGAATCTCAGTCCCCCTGTGCAGCACTGGGCTCGTGTCTTTACCTCTCTGAGCCCTAGTTTCCTCGGCACAGTGACAGTCTCAGGCTCTTAGGTTCATGGTGCGTGTTCTGATGAATGTCTTTGGCGCGCCAAGGGCTCAGTGGATTGGGTCTGTAGCAACTGGGAGTTCCAAAAAAACGGGAGGGGGAGCCCAGAGAAAGCAAGAAAACAGCCTGCGCTTTGCCGAGTTTTGAAGTAGAGATCTGAAATAATGACGGATGCATGTTCCTGAGTTTTAAAGGAGGTTACACTGTTATCCTATTTGGGAAATTAACATTGCTTGCCAGTAAGCCGGGCAGTGGTGGCTCACGCCCTTAGTCCCAGCACTCGGGAGGCAGGGGCAGGCGGATCTCAGTGGGTTCGAGGCCAGCCTGGTCTACAGAGCGAGTTCCAGGACAGCCTGGACTGTTACACAGAGAAACCCTGTTTCGAAAATAGATAAATACACAAGTAAACAAATAAATGGTAGTTTTTATTGAATGTGTGTTAGGTCAGAGGACAACTTGGCCCGGTGGCCTTTCTCCCTGCCCCACAGGACATCTTTAAAGGTTTTTCCATCGTGGATGGACAGTGACCCCGTGCGTGCTTTTGTGTGGAGATCAGGCCCACTTTTGAGACTTAGCTCTCTCCACCGCGTGGGGTGGTGGGGGTGTAGGTTCGGGGAAGGAACTCATGTTGTGTGTTGGAGGCAGGCCTCACTATAAGATAACTTCTCTGGGACTCACCTCTCAGAGCCTTCGAACCAATCTTTTGTTGTTGTTGTTTTTGGTTTTTGCTTTTTTGAGACTGGGTCTCTCTGTATTGTTTTGGAGGCTGTCCTGGAACTCACCCTGTAGACCAGGCTGGCCTCGAACTCACAGAGATCCGCCTGCCTCTGCCTCCCGAGTGCTGGGATTAAAGGCAGGTGCCACCACCGCCCAGCTAGGAGACCTAGTTTTAACAAATGGGAACAAACCAAACCAGACAAGATGGTGTTAGGTGAAACTGAGCTAAACAGTGACTTTGCTGCCCTAGAGCATTCTGGTTTAGTGTTAACGGAGGCCTTCTAAGGAGAGGCTGCTTATGCCTGCTGTAAGGCAGTTTCTGGGTCTCCATTCATTGGCTGACCTGAGTTCTGGTCCCGGCCCTACTGCTAGCCTGCTGTGTTTTCTTGGGCTAACCCTTATTTCCTCCTTCCCTTCTTCCAGGCTCATCATGCAGAGCCGCTGAGATGTGCATATTCTCCGCCTGGCACAGAGCAAACACTCCTGAGGACCTGCTCCATGGGCTTCGGAAGCAGAGAGAGCTTGGTTTTGAATCTCAGAAAGGTCAGTTGCTACATGTGACACTTGGCAAGTGACTGTTCCTTGCTGAGTCAGGTGTGTTCTTTTTAATCAACAAGAATGGGACTAATGATAGTTTCCCCTGGGAGGCTGTTGCCAGGCATCTCTGTGGTGCTCTGACCTGGTGGCTGGTTGACATGTCCTGACTCTTGTGCTGTTCATTGGTGTCAAATCCAGAACTTGCTAAGGATGGCCTTGAACTTGTGATCCTCCTGCCTCTGCCTCCCAAGTGCTGGGATGCAGGTATGTGTACCTGGCATGTATGGTGCTGGGAATTGAGCCCAGAGCTTTGTGCATGCTAGAGGAGCAGGCTCCTAACTGAATCACACCTCTGCCTACCCACCTGCTTGAGGCTGGGTCTTGCTATGCAGCCCAGGCTAGCCCGGAGCATAATACGTAGCTTGGGCTGGCATCTGAAGCTCTTCAACCCCCTTTAAGCAATTGATCATCTAAGTGAAAAATTGTTTTCCATTTCTGTGGAGCCTCTTGGGGTCTGGTACCCTCCCCCACACCCATCCCTTCCCAGTTTGGTTCTTAGGCACTCCAGAGGAGCTTCTGGCTTAGGACACCAGACTCGGTGTCCGCTTTCCTGGGACACTCTTCCTCTAAAGAACCACACACTTACACCCCCTCCTCCAGCTGTCTACATGACACCTTTGCAGATCAGCATGTTTAAGTGGCTCCCACCCTTCCCCGGCCATCCATGCTTTCTCCACAACACTGCCTTTATAGCTGTTTTGTTTCTTGTCTGTCCCCTGGTCCTCTGCCCCCAACTGGGCTCATGGTTTTGTCCCCTCAGGATTCTTTTTTTTTTTGAGACAGGGTTTCTCTGTATTGTTTTGGAGACTGTCCCGGAACTCACTTTGTAGACCAGGCTGGTCTCGAACTCACAGAGATCCGCCTGCCTCTGCCTCCCGAGTACTGGGATTAAAGGCGTGCGCCACCAACGCCCGGCTTCCCCTCAGGATTCTTAAGCATCTCCCACATTAAGGGTTCTTGGGAAACCTGTTTATTTGTTTATTTTGCTGAGGACCAAACTATGTCAGGCCAAAAATTTGTTGCTGAGCTACATGCCAACTAAATCTTTGTTTTATATTTCATGCAGAGCCTTACATAGCCTAGGTTGGCCTCGAACTTTTGAACTTCCTGTCTGAGTCTTCTGGATGCTGGGATTTCAGACCCTCTGCCATGCCTGGTTTCTATCTTAATGTTTGAGAAAGACTCACATTGGATGTGGAGGCCAACTTTTTTAATCCCAGGATTGGGAGGTAGACACGGGAATCCCTGAGTTCAGGCCCAGCCTGGCCTCAGAGTAAGTTCCAGGACAGCCAGGACTATAAACATTCAAACAAAGGCCTCACTCTCAGGGCTGGAGAGATGGCTCAGAGGTTAAGGGCACTGACTGCCCTTCTCTAGGTCCTGAGGTCAATTCCCAGCAACCGCATGGTGGCTCACAACCATCTGTGATGAGATCTGGTGCCCTCTTCTGCCTGCAGGGATACATGCAGACAGAATACTGTGTACATAATAAATACATCTTTAAAAAGAAAGGCCTCGCTCTGTAGCCTCGACTGAATTGTGGGTAGCAGGTGCATGTGTGCCCACTGTGCCTGACTCTGTCAGGAGGTTTCCTGACAGCAATGAGCGGGCGGTGCTGTGTTCTAGGATTTGGGGCCATTCTTGCGGCGAGACCTGTCCCGGTGTGAGGGCTGGCTGGGAGCTGGACATCGGCCTTCTGTGCTGGTGCTTTTGTGTCGACTCGCCACAGCCAGGGCCATCAGTTGAGAAAGTTACCTCTTTAAGATTAGCTTGCCGGGCGTTGGTGGCGCACGCCTTTAATCCCAGCACTCGGGAGGCAGAGGCAGGCGGATCTCTGTGAGTTCCAGACCAGCCTGGACTAGCAAGCGAGTTCCAGGACAGCCTCCAAAACAATACAGAGAAACCCTGTCTCGAAAAACCAAAAAAAAAAAAAAAAAAAAAAAAAAGATTAGCTTGTAGGCAAGCCCGTGGGGGTGTTTTCTTCATTGGTGATTGATGTGGGTCAGCCCCGCCCACAGTGGGCGGGGCCATCCCTGGGCAGGTGGTCCAGGTGTTACAAGGGAGCAGGCTGAGCAAGCCATGGAGCAAGCCAGCAAGCAGCGCCCTCCATGGCCCCTGCGTCAGCTCCTGCCTCCAGGTTCCTGCCCTGAGTCCCTGTCCTGACTTCCTTCCAAGATGGGCTACAAGCTGTAAGATGGAATAAACCCTTTCCTCTCCAAGTTGCTGTTTGTCGTGCTGTTTTATTACAGTAATGGGAGCCCTAAGCAGGACACCATCTTTGAGCTCTTCCCAGGCAGCAGAGATAGATGTGTGGCAGCCCTGTCCCAGGCTGACGTCCGGCCAGCTGCTCCAGGCTATTCTTGGGTCCTGAGCCCCTAGTTCAGGAATGCTCCTCTGGCAGGCAGGCGGGCAACACCGGGAGGCCGAGGCTCTCTGTGGGCCGACGAATGGGCCCTCTCTCCCTTCTCTTTTCCAGGCTCCAGGAAGCAGGGTCAAGGCTGGGGAGACGATGGTCTCAGTGACGATGGGTGAGTCTGGTTTCCCTGCTGGGCCCCTGTGCCCACCTCCCCAGTCTGGGGTATGTTCTGAGTCTAGGGAGGGGGAGGGGCAGGGCTGGTGACAGGCAGGGGCAGCTGAGCTCCCCTGAGGTGGGGGCGGGGCTGGGGCCTGTGCTAGGCTGGCTGTTCTCTTCCTGAGTTGGGCCTGGAGCACTTGGTGAGGCCGTCCTGTGCCTGCTTCCTCTGGTCAGGAGAGCCTCGGTTGTGGGGTCTGAGATGGAGATGATAACCCTGCAGCCCAGACACAGGAGATTACCACATGTGGGATCCTGGGCGCAGTCCTCAGGGGATGTTAGGTGTGCTTGCTTCGAGACAGCCCCAGATTATCCCTCCCCTCTTTCCTGAGATACAGGCCCGCACTAACCCAGGCTAACCTGCCATTCCTGAGCCAAGGGCAGCCTTGACCTCTCCACCTTCCTGCCTCTACCTCCAGTGCTGGCCAGGGTCCCGGGCTCCACCACCAGCCTGGCTGGCTTGCTCGCTCCTTCTCTTGCTTTTTGTTTGTGGGGTGGGGAAGACGTCGTCTCCCCATGCGGCCCAGGCCACTTTCAGCCTTCCTGCCTTAAACTTGCAAGTGCTGGGTTACAGCTGTGTGCCACCACACCCAGATCCCCAGCTCTTCTTAAGCTGCCTGTTGGGGCTGTACAGGCACAGAGGTCACACGGTGGCTTAGGAAAATGTTGAAGGAAAATCCATAGCTGGACAGTGGTGGGACACCCCTTTAATCCTAGCTCTCACGAGGCAGAAACAGGTGTGTCTCTGAGTCTGAGGATAGCCTGGTCTACAGAGAGAGTTCCAGGACAGCCAGGGCTACATAGAGAAACCTTTCTTGGAGAAAAAAAAAAGGGGGGGGGGAGGAAAATCCATAGAATCAAAAGCAGCTGAAAGACAAACATTTAGCAGCACCCAAGCCTTGAGTTTACATAAACAAAACCATGCAGTATGTCATCATGATGTGTGTCTTTATGTAGCATGGTATTTGAAGTCACCCGTAGAGCTAAGCATAACTGCTGTCTTTCCTTTTTAATACCATGTAGCATGTCATGTGTTTGTTTACAGATGCCTTTGTCAAGGGATATTGCTTAGGGCTTAGAGAGATGCAGCTAAGTGGTAGCGCACTTGCCTAAGACTCCCCTGTAAGGACTTGGAGTACGGCTCAGCGATATGGTTTACTGAGGGTGGGAGGAGGGGGCTCAGAGCTACAGTAGAGCTTAACTAAGGCATGTTCCATCGGAAGCACCGCAAACAGGCAACGAAGGATATTATTTTGTTCTGGGATAGACATCTGCAGTGTATGTTCCTGACGATTTCTCCTGGGGATAGTGTAGTAACCTCATCTGGCTGATTCTGAGATACACTGTTATGTAATGTAACATTTCTGGGTAGGGTTAGCTACATCTTTTTTGATTTTGTTTGCTTTTGGAGACAGTGTCTCACTTTGTCATCTCTGCATCATTCACCCATCCCAGACTGGTCGCAAACCCGCAACTTCAGCCTCCTGGCCCAGCTATTTCTTAATGGCCACTGGTTTCTGACAGCTCAGTTGGTCACGTGTTTGCCTTGTCTCTATAATACATGGCATGATGGCGTGAACCTGATGCAGATTCTGCAACGCCTTGGACTCCAGGCTCTGTAGGTGGTGTACACATGTGAACCAGGACAGTAAGACGAGAGGATCAGGAGTTCAGGGTCGTTCTCAGGTACCTGCTGAGGTCAAAGCAAGCCTGAGATGCACGAGAGATACATGAGACACTGTCTTTTTTATTTTTTCATTTATTTGTTTGTTTGTTTTTGAGACAGGGTCTCACTATATAGCCTTGGCTGTCTTAGAACTTGATATGTAGACCAAGCTGCCCTTGAACTCACACAGAGAGATCCACCTGTCTCTGCCTCCTAAGGTGTGTGCCACCATGCCAGCTGAGACCCTGTCTTTAAAAACAAAAGTGAAAAAGGAGGAGCGTGCACAAGGCCTTGGGTTCCATCCCCATCACCACGTAAACCGAGTACGGTGGCAGCACACAACTACAGATCCACCTCTGGGGACGTGGAGGCAGGAGGATCAGGAGTTCAAGGTCATCCTCAGATACACAGTGAGTTTGAGGCCAGGCCTGGGCTCCACCAGACCTTGTCTTTAAAAAGCCATTTAAGGCTGTCTGGACTCAGGCCACCCATCCATCAAGTGACCTGATGACATGGGTGTGGTTAGTACGGAAACGTTAGTGTGCATTTCTTTTCATTTATTTATTTATGTTTTATGTCCACTGTTGTGAAGATGTCAGGTTCCCTGGAGTTGGAGATACAGACAGTTAGAGTTGCCACTCGGGTGCTGGGAATTGAAAGGTCCTCTGGAAGAGCAGCCCTTGCTGTTAACCGCTAAGCCGTCTCTCCAGCCCCTAGCATGGATTTCTTGACTTCTGCCCTGAGGGTCTAAGGCATCGTAGGTGTTGGGAATGGGACTGGCTCTGTGCCATGTGCCCAGGAAACACTTGGTAGATGAACAGCACTATCACAGATACAGACAGGAAACTGAGGCACTGAGCAGTGACTTGCCCAAAGTCCTGTGTGCGGGAAATGGCAGAGGCAGGATTGAACCAGCCAAGCTTCCTGATACGGGGTATGAACACGAGCCCCTCCCTGAGGCTCGGAGCTGTCGGCCAGGACACGGGGTGAGGCACCAGGGCGCGTGAAGCCGTGAGAGAACAGGGTTAAAGGATTGGGATCCTCTCAGCCCCCAGTTAGGGACTCAGTGCTGGCTGACTGACCGGTGGCCGGGGTCCTCTTCCCACGAGAGTTGAGCACTCACAGTGCAGGGCTGGCACGCACTGGCTCAGTTTGTGGAAGCCACTGCGGCTGCAGTGTTGCTATGATGGCTGTCCTGTCTAACCCCCAGCCACTTCCGAGTGGATCCAGTTCTTCAAGGAAGCCGGCATTCCTCCAGGCCCTGCTGTCAATTATGCCGTGATGTTTGTGGACAACCGGTGAGGAGGCTGACGGCAAAGGGTAAACTGGGCAGGAGGAGGTGGGAGCTTGCTGGGTGGGGCCTCATCACTGTCCCCCGTCTCCCCTGCCCCCCCCCGCAGGATCCAGAAGAGCATGCTGCTAGATCTCAATAAGGAAATCATGAACGAGCTGGGCGTGACTGTGGTGGGTGACATCATTGCCATCCTCAAGCATGCCAAGGTGGTACACCGCCAGGTAGGTGCTCTTCTGTGACTTCCTGGGCAAAGTGTGAGGCTGGAGAGGACTGTCACATGGCCAGCAGGAGGCCTGGCAGCAAAGGACGGTGCAGCGCTCGCAGGCAGGTTTGACTCTTTGCTGTGTGACACTGGGCATGTTGCTTGACTTCTCTGAGCCTTGTTTTCTCTGCTTTCCCAATGCAGTGAGGCAAACCTTAATTCTTGTGTTCTTTTTCCATTCTCTGTAGCTTTGGAGCCTGCCCTGCAACTAGCTCTTGTAGACCAGGCTGGTCTCGAACTCAGAGATCCTCCTGCCTCTGCTTCCCGAGTGCTGACATTAAAAGCGTGTGCCACCACCACCTGGCCTCTTTTCCCATTTTTCATATGTGTGTGATATACACACGGGCACATGGATTGTACATGTTCACATGTGTGCGTGTGCACACGGAGGCCCGAGGTTGATGCAGGGAATTATCCTCACTCACTCTTCCACCTCATTCGGTGAGGCTGCCAGATGCCCTGCCCCTTGCAGTAACTTCTAGAGACAGGTCTTCACTGGCCCTCATTCAGGACCCTGCAAGAGGACTTTCTCAAGCAGGAGGCATCAACTCAGTTGGAGAGTCAGTGAGAAAAACATTGTGTTTCTTCTGTAGTTTTTTTTTTTTTGTTTTGTTTTCTGTTTTTTTTTTTTTTTTTTTTTTTTTTACGAGACAGGGTTTCTCTGTATTGTTTTGGAGGCCGTCGGTCCAGCCCGGCTTCGAACTCACAGCGATCTGCCTGCCTCTGCCTCCCGAGTGCTGGGATTAAAGGTGTGCGCCACCACTGCCCGGCCTTTCTGTAGAATTTTCGATTGAGAATGAAATACATACTGGATGAATGTGTCTGAGAGGCGTGTGGACACATGTTTGGAGGTCAGAAGACAACTCTGGAAGTTGGCTCTCCGTCCACCACCCTGAGTCCCAAGGATTAACTGAGTTGTCAGGTGGCACCAAGCTGCTGGGCTGTCTATGTGGCCAGTCCAGGGCTGTGGCAGGCTTTCTCTTGGGTCACCAACCAGCTCCCAAATCATGCCACGGAGACTTGTTATTATTATGAGTGCTTGGCCTTGTCTTACACCTTAGTCCAACCTGTTCCTCTTCATCTACATCGTGCCTCAGGGTTTTTTTTTACCTTTCTTTCATTCTGTATGTCCTGCTCTATGTCTGTCTGTCTGTCAGGCCCCAGGCGTCTCTCTCTCTCTCTCTCTCTCTCTCTCTCTCTCTCTCTCTCTCTCTCTCTCTCTCTCTCTCTCTCTCTCTCTCTCTCTCTCTCTCTCTCCTCTCTCTCTCTCTCTCTCTCTGTCTCTGTCTCTCTCTCTCTCTCCCTCTCTCTGTCTCTCTATCTCTCTCTCCCTCTCTCTCTCTCTGTCTCTCTATCTCTCTCTCCCTCTCTCTCTCTCTCTCTGTCTCTCTCTCTCTCTCTGTGTCTCTGTCTCTCTGATTCCCCCTCCTACTTATTCTGTCTCCCACCAGCCCCGCCCATCATCCGTTGCCTAGTGATAACCGTTCAGCTCTTCATTAGACCAGTCAAGTGCCTTAGGCAGGCAGGTGAAACAGCAGCTGCACATCTTTAATAGATAAACAGATGCAGCAGAAACAAATGTGACTTTTTTCTTTTTTTTTTTTTTTTTTTTTTTTTTTGGTTTTTCGAGACAGGGTTTCTCTGTGTTGTTTTGGAGCCTGTCCTGGAACTCACTCGGTAGACCAGGCTGGTCTCGAACTCACAGTGATCCGCCTGCGTGACTTTTTTTCTTTTGAGACAACGTTTCTTTGTGTAATAGCCCTGGCTGTACTGGAACTCCCTATGTAGACCAGGCTGGCCTTGAACTCAAAGAGATCCACTTGCCTCTGCTCTCAAGTGCTGGGATTGAAGGTGTGCGCCATGGCCATCTTTGCCTAGTTAAACATTCCGCAACACAGGGTGCTTTCTGGTAGCCCAGAGCTGAGTAGAACTGGAAAGATGACTCAGGTTAAGAGTGCTCACTGCTCTTCCAGAGGACCCAAGTTCAGTTCCTAGAAATGTCAGGAAGCTCACAACTGCTTATAGCTTCAAGGGATCCCATACTGGTGGCCTCTGCAAACACCCTAATTTACGTACACTGTACACACACACACACACACACACACACAACTAAAATGGGTTAAAAAATAAAACAAACAACCCCAAAGCAGAACAGCTTTTTGTTTTGTTTTGTTTTTTTGTTTTGTTTTGGTTTTGAAGATAGGGGATAGGGTTTCTCTTTGTGGCCTTGTCTGTCCCAGAACTCCTCAATCTGTAGACCAGGCTGGCCTCGAACTCACATGGATCCGCCTGCCTCTTGAGTGCTGGGATTAGAGGTGTGCGCCGCCACTGCCGGGCCTACAGAACAGCTTTTCCGTTCTCTCGTAATTGTGTCCCAGCCTCCGGGGTGCTGCTCGGTGCAGTAGGTCCCCCGCTCTGGGCTAACCCACTATTTCTCATTTCCAGGACATGTGCAAAGCTGCCACCGAGTCAGTGCCCTGCAGCCCCAGCCCCGTCCAGAGTGAACCCCGCCGTGGCGCCTCTAGTGGTGAGTTGCGCCTGTTCAGTCTCTTCCTTCCTTGGGTCCTGTCGCTAAGGGACACATCTGGCCGTCTCATCCGCCTGGTAGTTTGCAGAGGTGGAAGCTGAACCATTGAAGCCCTCTGTCAGGGACCGTGTAAGCTAGGCAGGGAGTGAGTGTTTAAATAGCCCTTTCTCACTCTTACTAGTCATACTTGTTTAAATTATTGGTGTGTGTGTGTGCGTGCGTGTGTGCGTGCGTGTGCGCTCTCACAAGACCGAGTGAAAAAGTTAGAGGACATATTTGGGGATTGGTTCTTGCCTTCCACTGTGTAGATCTTGGTGCTCAAACTTGGGTCATCAGGCTGGACTGTAAGCACCTGTACCCTCTCCGAGTCATCTTTCTGTTCTCTCTCTCTCTCTCTCTCTCTCTCTCTCTCTCTCTCTCTCTCTCTCTCTCTCCCTCTCTCTCTTTCTCTCCCTCCCTTCTCTTTTTTAAACAAAGGTTTACATAGCCCAGGCTGGCCTCGAAGTCATTATCCCCCTGCCTTAGCATCTTGCTTCTGAGATCTGCGCATCTGATTTATTTCTTTTGGTGGTGCCGACGGGCGCCGGCTGACCATGCTCAGCCGTTTCACTCAGTTTCACCTCAGCCATATACCCTTACCTTGCCTATTCCTCTTTGTCCTAGTTTGCTTGGTTTTCTTGGGGGGCAAGGAGGCTCAATACAGGGCTTCTCTGTAGCCCTGGCTGTTCTGGAACTCGCTTATTCTGTAGACCAGGCTGGCCTTAAACTCACAGAGATCCACCTGCCTCTGTCTCCCGAGTGCTGGGATTCAATGCGTGCGCCACCACTGCCCGGCCTAGTGATGAAGCATGACTAAAAGCTCAGCTCACGAGTCCTGGTCAGGACATCAAGGCAGAGGCCAGGGACAAATGCTGCTCTTTGGGTTGCTCTCCAGACTTGCATACAGCTAACCTTCTCTTTGCTCTTTTTCCTTGAAGTAGAGTCTCACTCTGTAGCCCTGATTGGTCTTGAACTCACAGAGATCTGTCTGTCTCTGCCTTCTGAGTACTGGGGTTAATAGACATTGTTCCAGCACACCTATCCAGGTATCCTTCTTACCCTCTCAGGACCAACCCCCTGCCAAGAATGACACTGCCTACAGTGGCATAGGTTCTCCCACAGCCGTTATCAATCAGGAAGTATCCCACAGAACTGTCTACAGGCCAGTGTGATGGAGGCATGCTTTGACCTCCTCCCTGAGGCCTCTAGCTTGTGTGGAGTTGACAAAAAACTAACCATACTTTTAAAAACCTGTATTCATCATTTAATCTGTTTATTCTGTGTGTGTGTCCAAGAGTACTCATGCGCCCTGGCACAGGTGCTTAAATGACCCCTCTTGCTCTCCACTTCCGGCATGTGGGTTCCCCGAATTGCTGCCTTCGTTCACTGGGCTGTCTGAGCAAATGTCCCCCAGGAGTTCCCCTCAAAGGACACCTTGTTTACTGTTTGCTCTCGAGTCGTTTGCTGAGCTCCAAGCCAGCAGCGCCGTGACTCAGTCCAGAATGAAGCTTGTAAGCCACACACATTTTCCATGAAGCCCGCCGTGGCCTTCCACACGGTGTGCTGTCACGTGGCACCTGAGCAGTATGTGCTTGGTGTCATTTCAAAGCTGCACGTCCTCAAGCACAGGCAGGAAAAGAGCCCAGGTTTTACATTCCTAGCAGCTAACAGACCGTGGAAAGACCCTTTCGGGGACTGCTGCCAGAAGGCGCAGGGTCGTTTGACATAGGCTGGGTGACGCTGCAACTCTGGGCAGCTGCGGAAGCCCCCATGCATCCATGCAGATGCAGGCTTAGGTGAGTAGATGTGTCTGCACACAGACTCCCGAAGACCTGGGCCGCAAACAGCGTGAGACCTGTTTTAAAGACACGTAGGCCGGCCATGACTCAGCTGGCAGAGTGCTCGGGGCGGACATGAGGCCTTGGACTCAGTCCTCAGCCCCAGACAACCCAGGTGCCTGAGACATGGTAGCAGGAGGATTAGAAGTTTAAAGCTGGGGTTGGAGAGACAGCTCGATGGTTGAGAACACCCGCTGCTCTCCCGGAGGACCCGAGCTCCATTTCTAGCGTCCACATCAGGTAGTTCACAAATGCCTGTAACTCCAGCACCAGGGGATCCGATGCCTTCTTCAGGCCTCCAAAGGAACCTGTACACATAGGGCTTATACACATATACACACCTAAATAAAAATACATAAATTTAAAAAGGAAAAAAGAAGTTCAAGGTAATGAGTTTGAAGCCAGCCAGGATATGTGAGATCCTATCTCAGGAAAGAAAGGAAAGGAAAAAAAGGTGGGGTGCTGGTAACTTTGCTCAGCAGGCAAAGGCTCTTGCTATGCAATCCTGGCAACCTGAGTTGTCTAGAACCCGTGAAAGTTGAAAGAAAAGAACTGATTGAAACTTGTCCTCTGACCTCTGTATGTGCACTGTGGCGCTTGAGTCCCGACTCCCATCTCGTCCCCTGTGGAAATTATCAAGCGGCACACCTTTAATCCCAGCACTCAGGAGGCAGAGGCAGGGGGATCTCAGAGTTTGAGGAGTTTGACCCCAGCGTGTGGAGGCTGCTCCTATGACTTTTAGGTCATCTTGGTCTGTATAGAGAGGTCAAGGCCAGATCCTCTTTCAAGACAAGAAGAGATGTATATCTCACAAAAGTAAGTGGTCAGGGAGATGGCATGCAAGGGGAAGTGCTGGCCAGGGAAGGGTGAGGATCTGAGTTTGCATCCTCAGCACTCATGTAAAGATGGACGCTGTGGTGCACGTCTGTAATCCCAGGTGGGATGGGAGGTGGAGATAGGAGAGTCCTGGGATGCTCACATGTATGACAGAATTACACACATGAATAGACAGACACTCAGATAAGCAGTCAGACATTTACTTCTCACAGATAAACACACAGATAAACAATCAGACATTTACTTCTCACAGATAAATAAACACAAAGATAAACAGCCATAGACATCTACTTCTCACAGATAAACAGTCATAGACATTTACTTCTCACCGTTTTATGGGCTGGCTGGTCACTGTCCTCAGATCCATCTCAGCAGGTCTCTGGTTCCATGACCTCTAGGTTGAAGGATGGCTTCGTTTACACATCCAGTTACTGACTCCGTGTCAGCTGGAGTAGTAGAAGTGACTTGGTGTCTTCTGTCATGCAGCAGGCTAGCCTAGGCATGTTCTGACAGCGGAAGTGAGTCACAGGGCTCCTAAAAACAGCCTTAGAAGCAGCCCCAGCCCTGGGGCCTCTGGAGTCTCCATTTTTGTAACATCTGCTCTCATACCATTGGACAAAGCAAAGTCAGTGCTGGCAGGACACACCCAAAGGTGTTGACACAGCGAGGTTATAGGAATGAGGCTCTAGAATGTGTGCTTAGCCCGGGAGGCCCTGTGTTCTAGCCTCAGCACTAACTCATTAGAGGCTCTGCTGATAGCAGTCGGTATAAGAAAGCCGATAGCATCCTCCAAAGGAAGAGACAAGCGAGCTGTCCTTCCTCCCCTTTCCCACCCATCATCTCCTTTCAGGGCACCCACAGCCCTGGCCGCCAGTAGCATAGATGAATTCTGCCAGTCTTTTTTTTTTTTTTTTTTTTTTTTTTTTTTGGTTTTTGGAGACAGGGTTTCTCTGTGGCTTTGGAGGCTGTCCTGGAACTCGCTCTGTAGACCAGGCTGGTCTCGAACTCACAGAGATCCGCCTGCCTCTGCCTCTCGAGTTCTGGGATTAAAGGCGTGCGCCACCAACGCCCGGCCTGCCAGTCTTTCAATTGCCTGTTGATAACATTTTCATACCCTTCTGGATGCCTTTTTCTTCTGTCTCTCTCTCTACCTCTCTCCCTCCTTCTTTCCCTCTCTCCCTCCCAAGACAAGGTCTCACTATATAGATGTAGCCCTGACTGGCTTGGAATGCATGTAGACTAAGCTAGCCCTGAATTTACAGATCCACCTGCCTCTGCCTCCGAGTTCTGGCATTAAAGGTGTGTCCCATCATGACTGGCCTAAATGCCTTTTATAACTTCAAGTAACTGAGAAATGAAACCAAAGTTGTGCGTGGTAGCTTATATGTATAATCCCAACACTCAGGAAGCTGAAGCAGGAGGATTGCTGTGAATTAACCACCCTGGGTTACAATGTGAGTTCCAAGTCAGTCTAGAGTGAGCCAAAGTCTTTTTTTTTTTTTTTTTTTTTTTTTTTGGTTTTTTGAGACAGGGTTTCTCTGTGGCTTTGGAGGCTGTCCTGGAACTAGCTCTTGTAGACCAGGCTGACCTCGAACTCACAGAGATCCGCCTGCCTCTGCCTCCCGAGTGCTGGGATTAAAGGCGTGCGCCACCAACACCCGGCCGAGCCAAAGTCTTTAAAAAGAAAATATTGTCATAGCCGGGCGTTGGTGGCGCACACTTTTAATCCCAGCACTCGGAAGGCAGAGGCAGGCGGATCTCTGTGAGTTCGAGGTCAGCCTGGTCTGCAGAGAGAGTTCCAGGACAGGCTCCAAAGCCACAGAGAAACCCTGTCTCGAAAAACAAAAAAAGAAACTATTGTCAAGCAATGAGGACTGTGGGACAAAGTGGTGCCATGGGTCGGTGTAGCAGAAGTAAAAGGACTCTGGTGTGGGTGTTAGAGGAGCTGGACATGGAAGCTGGCTCCTGGAAATACGAAGCCGCCATCCTTGTCCTTGATCATACCTTACATCACGAGGATGGAGCAGCCACCGGGGACAGCAGCTGCTGCTTCCTGATTGAGTCCAGTGCTTTCCCTCGACACCCTGGCCCCAGCACCTAGACTGTTCTAGAATCCTCCTCACTTCCCTTTCCCAGTCCCTTCTCCAGGGCATCCCCAGTGTGACTGGACTCAATTCCTTCCTCCCACAGCCGCTTCTCGAATGATCACCAACAGCCTGAACCATGACTCTCCACCCCACACTCCCCCAAGGCGGTCAGACACCAGCACCTCCAAGATCTCCGTCACTGTGTCCAACAGGATGGCAGCGAAGAGTGCCAAGGCAGCCGGTGAGGGCTCTTGGGCAGCTGTTGGGCAGAGCTGGCTGCAGGGGAATATGGGTGAGCAGAAGGGGTGTGTGCGTGCGTGTGAGTGTGCGTGTGTGTGATGGGGGGTCTGCCGCTAAATGTGACAAGGCGCTTCAGAGAGCACCCAAAGGTCACTGACCTTTGTGAACTTGAGTCTGAGAACTTCACTTTTGTTTCTTTTTCTTAAATTATATTTATGCTTTTATTTTACATCCCGACCAAAGTTTCCCCTCCCTTCCTCCTCCCATTTCCTCTCCTCTGCGTCCCCATCCACTCCTCCTGTGTTTCTGTTCAGGGGCAGGGCTCCCATGGGTGTCAACAGAGCGTGGCATGTCAAGTTTCAGTTATGACTAAGCTCCTCCCCTTGTATTAAGGCTGGGCTAGGCAACTTGGTATGAGGAATTGGTTCCCAAAAGCCAGCCAACACGTTAGGGACAGCCCCTGCTCCCACTGCTAGGAGTCGCACAAGTAGACTTTTATTTGTTTGTTTGTTTTAAATTATGTGTATGTATGTGCTTGTGTATACAGGTGTCCGTGGGGGCCAGAGGAGTGGTTTCCCTGAGCTGAAGTTATAGGTCGTTATGAGCTGTCTGATGCGGGTGCTGGGAACTGAACTTGGGTCTCTGCAAAAGCAGTACTTGATCTTAAGCACTGAGCCGTCTCTAGCTCCATGTTACTGTTCAAGAAGGATAGTGATGTCTTGGTTTCGAGGACAGTGAGCAGTTCTCTAAGACAGACTGGAGACCTGGCTGTTCCCCTTCTCCTCGGTAACGAGGCTGACCTTGAGACTGTTATGTAGCCGGGATGACACTGACCTGCCCCTGCCTACCGTGACTATTGAGCTCCCAGGCATGGACCACCACCCCTGTTTGTGCAGTGCTAGGGAGAGCGAACCCAGGCCTGCCGTCTGCCAGCTTTTGCCTGTGGCCTTAAGCCTGCAGCATGCTTCCTGCTTGGGTTTTCTGACTACCCTCTGTCCCGGGCTTCGATCTGGGAGTGGGGCTCAGCCTTTGGCCTCTCCTGCTCTCTGCTGTGTTCTCACACCTTTGCTGGACCCGTTCCTAGTGCGTGTGTGTGTGGGTGTGTGGGTGTGCGTGTGTGCGTGTGTAAAAGCACCTTCAACCCGAAGGTAGACTTAGTTGCGAGGAGTAGTGTAGTGACTCACACCTACAGTACCAGCACTTGGGAGGCTGAGAGGGAGGAGACCTCTATGAGTTTGCACCCAGGCTGCTCTGCAAGCTTGAGTCCTTGTCTCATAAAAAGAAAACAGATTCTGGGACTAGACAGGAGCTAAGTGGTACAGTACTTGCTTAGCATGCACAAAAATCATTCCAAATTCACGTTTGGTTCGGTCTATCTAGAGAGTTGCAGGCTAGCTAGAGTCACAGCAAACCAAAAAGGAAAACCAGAAAGGTAAAAGTAGCTAACAAAGCACTGAAACAATGACAAGTCTGCCTCCTGACACCATGAAGGGAATTCTTATATTTTTGGTTGTGAGCCTAGCCTTTAACAGCTGAGCCATCTCTCCAGCCCGTAGGGAATTCTTTTCTGTGGTTGAAGTGTAGCGTAGGTGTGATAGAGCGTGCTGGAGTGGAGAGGCTGAGGCAGGGGGATTACAAGTTCCAGACCAGCTTGGGCTACATAGTGAGACACTGGGTTAGCAACAGAAAAGAAGTATAACGTAGGGTTGGTGGCACAGCTCAGTGAGTGGACACTTTGATCATGCCCGATGACCATAGTTCCATCCCTGGTGCCCACCCAGTAAGGAAGAGAGCCATGTGTGTGCACACACACGTCATAAATATATAGAGTGTAGGTTTTCCTTATTTTGTGTGTATCCATGTTTTGTCTGCATGCATGTCTGGGCATCACATGGATGCCTAGTGCCGACAGAGACCACAAGGACATCTGGTCCCTGGAACTGGAATTACAGGTGGTTGTGAGGTGCCTTGGCGGGGGGGTGGGAACTGAACCCAGGTCCTCTGGAAGAACAGCCAGTGCTCTTTAACTACTGAGCCACCTCTCCAGCCCTGACGCATATATTTTAAAGTATAATTAATTCTGCATAATGCCTAAACAGTAAATGTGGACCTCGGTTTCTTGTTAAAAACGGAAAGCAGAAAGGAATGGTCAGAAGGCACAAGAACACACAGTCCTGAAGGCAGCCCCATACGACCTGAGGTCTCCACACTCCAGGGCCACAGTCTGGGAGGTCACTGCTTGCAGATCCCAAGCACGTCTGCGGGTTAGTCACACCAGATGACTAAGGTCCTCAGTTGTTCAGTCTGGTGCCGGGCAGCTGTGCACATGAACGGTCCAGTCACTCAAGTAACCCAGCGAAAGACACCGTGCGCAGCTGGGCATTGTGCACGCCCATAAGCCCAGCCCTCCAGGGGTTAACGCATCGAGATTGAGAGTTGAGGCCAGCCTGGGCTACATAGTAGACCTTGTCTCCAAAGAGAGAGAACAGAGAAAGGTTGTATGCCCATAGCTAGGTGCACCCCCTCCACCACCTCAGAAGCTTCATCCCTGAAGGAGCTGACCCATGTCTCCTTACCAGCTCTGGCTCGCAGGGAGGAGGAGAGCCTGATTGTTCCTGCCAAGCGGCGACGGGTCACAGCCGAGATGGAGGGAAAGTACATCATCCACATGCCCAAGGGGACCACGCCCCGCACCCGCAAGATCCTGGAGCAGCAGGCAGCAAAAGGTACAGGCTGTGTGGCTTGCAGACGGAGGTCTCCTGCCCAGTAGGTGGGGGGCTCAGCGGGGAGCAGCTAACAGCATTTGGCTAAGCGGACAGCGACCATAGGAGAAGGGACTCCCTCACCTCTGCGCTGTCATCCTGCAGTTCATGAAGCTGGGCTCCTCATGTCTTGTCCCTGGAGGGCAGGGACAAAGAGCCAGTTATGGCTGGCCTGGGATGGCCAGTGACCATACCTGACTGAGAGTAGGCCTGCAGTGACACCAGTACTGCCTGACAAAGCAAGCGCTCACCCCAGCCCGGTGAGGGTGGTGTCTCCATGGCAGTGGTGTCTTAGACAGTTCTGCTGGCTCTCCCAGAAGAACTCTGAGATGGTGCCCATTCCCTCTGTGAGCAGCGTGAATGGACCTGTGTGTGTCACTGTGGATATGTCCCTACAAAGCCTGTACTTCTTCCTTCAGTTCCTTTTTTTCCAGACAAGGTTTCTCTGTGTAGCCCTGGCTGTCCTGGAACTCACTCTGTAGACCAGGCTGGTCTCCAACTCACAGAGATCCGCCTGCCTCTGCCTCTGCCTCTGCCTTTGCCTACCGAGTGCTGGGATTAAAGGCATGTGCCACCATGACGGATCTGGTGGCTTCTTTTTTTTTTTTTTTTTTTGGTTTTTTCGAGACAGGGTTTCTCTGTGGCTTTGGAGACTGTCCTGGAACTAGCTCTTGTAGACCAGGCTGGTCTTGAACTCACAAAGACCCGCCTGTCTCTGCCTCCCGAGTGCTGGGATTAAAGGCGTGCGCCACCAACGCCTGGCTTTGGTGGCTCATTTTTAATGGTTGTTTGTTTCCCAGTATTTTGGGCTGTGACTATATTGGTGGAGATGCAATGGACCTTGAGAACTCTTTACCCAAAAGCTGGGTGTGGTAGCACCCCGCTGTAATTCTACCATTTGGGAGGTGTAGGCAGGAGAATCAGGAGTTCAGGGCCAGCCTCAGGTACATAGTGAGTTAGCCAAGGCTACATGAGTCCAGGCTTAAAGAAGAAGCTTTCCCGTTCATATCCACTTGTGCAGAGGTGCAATGGATCTCAGGTATCAATTTTCATTGATGGTTTCGGTTAGGGTCACTATTGCTGTGACAAAGCACCATGATCAAAACCATGTCGGGGAGGAAACGGTTTATTTGGCTTACACTTCCACATCAGTGGAGGAAGTCAGGACAGGAACTCAAGCAGGGCAGGATCCTGGAGGCGGCTGGTGCAGAGGCCGTGGAGGGGAGCTGCTTACTTGCTTGCTCCCATGGTTTCCTCAGTCTGCTCACCAGCCTGGTGGTGGTCCCTACCCCATTGATCACGAATTAAGAAAATGCCCTACAGGCTTGCCTATAGCTGGTCCTATGGAGGTAATTTACTAATTCAAGTTCTATTCTCTTAGGTGACTTTAGCTTGTGTCAAGTTGACATAAAACTAGCCAGCTTGGGCCGGGCATTGGCACACGCCTTTAATCCCAGCACTCGGGAGGCAGAGGCAGGTGGATCTCTGTGAGTTCGAGGCCAGCCTGGTCTACAGAGCGAGCTCCAGGACAGCCTCCAAAACAATACAGAGAAACCCTGTCTCGAAAAACCAAAAACAAAGCAAAACTAGCCAGCACATTGATATTTCCCAGATTTGACTCTTGTCATGAGTTTGTGTGGAGGTCAACATAAGCCACGGGTGGGTGTAGCCAAGCATGGCGCCTCCCTACTAGGTCATGCCACCTTGTCACGTGCTCTGTGGTCAGCCTAGACATGGTCCCCAGGGGCCTCGAGGCGGGCGTTGCTTCATGGCGCCATTTCTGTGCCAGGTCTCCATAGAACGTCCGTGTTCGACCGCCTCGGTGCTGAGACCAAAGCGGACACGACGACGGGGACGAAGGTGAGTGTGGCGTTGCCCAGCTCCCAAACAGGTCACACATGGAGGCTTATTCTTAGTCATGAACGCCCGGCCTGAGCTTGGCTTGTTTCCTGCCAGCTTTTCTCTTTGCCTTTTTATCTTTTTTTTTTTTAAATATTTATTTATTTATTATGTATACAGTGTCCCTCCTGCATGTAGGCCTGCAGGCCAGAAGAGGGCACCAGATCTCATTACAGATGGTTTCGAGCCACCATGTGGGAATTGAACTCAAAACCTCTGTATCTTTCTTATTTCTGTATATATTACTTTCCTTCTTCCTCTGTGGCTGGCTGGCTGCCCCTGAAGTCCTCTCCTTGTTCTCTTGTTCTTCCTCGATCTTCGTTTCCCGTTCGTCCTCTCTGCCTGCCAGCCCCGCCTATCCTTGCCCCTTCCTGGCTGTTGGCCGTTTAGCTCTGTTAGACCACCAGGTGTTTCCGACAGGCACAGTAACACAGCTTCACAGAGTTAAACAAGTGCAGCAGAAGCAAAAGTCGCACGCCCTAAAGTAATGTCCTCACAGTGTGGCGTCTGAAGTGAAGTAATGTCCCCACAGTGTGGCGTCTGAAGTAATGTCCCCACAGTGTGGCGTCTGAAGTAATGTCCCCACAGTGTGGCATCTGAAGTAATGTCCCCACAGTGTGGCGTCTGAAGTAATGTCCCCACAGTGTGGCGTCTGAAGTAATGTCCTCACAGTGTGGCGTCTGAAGTGAAGTAATGTCCTCACAGTGTGACGTCTGAAGTGAAGTAATGTCCTCACAGTGTGACATCTGAAGTGAAGTAATGTCCCCACAGTGTGGCGTCTGAAGTAATGTCCCCACAGTGTGGCGTCTGAAGTAATGTCCCCACAGTGTGGCGTCTGAAGTAATGTCCCCACAGTGTGGCGTCTGAAGTAATGTCCTCACAGTGTGGCGTCTGAAGTGAAGTAATGTCCTCACAGTGTGACGTCTGAAGTGAAGTAATGTCCTCACAGTGTGACATCTGAAGTGAAGTAATGTCCCCACAGTGTGGCGTCTGAAGTAATGTCCCCACAGTGTGGCGTCTGAAGTGAAGTAATGTCCTCACAGTGTGGCGTCTGAAGTAATGTTCCCACAGTGTGGCGTCTGAAGTAATGTCCCCACAGTGTGGCGTCTGGCCCTCTCAGTGTGCCCTTGACACCACGCATCTGTGCTTCTGTGTCCCGGCTGCCGCACTCTCTTCCACCATTCAAACCTCTGTTTTCTCTGTGGCCATGCTGGATGACCTGTTTGCCCTTTGTGTCCCCAGCCGACCTGTAGCCCAGCCCCAGGCTGCTGGGTTTCTTTCTCCTACCCCAGGTCCCTCTAGTCTCAGTGTCTGCTACCATAGCAACTCCTGCCCGAGCCTCAGCTCTTCAGCTCAGGGCGCCTGCCATCTGCTGCCAGTCAGCCAATGCAGTCCAAGTTGGATGACCCCACCTGTTCTCATCCCTGCCCCCTCTGCCGTATGCGTGGATAGCATCCCGTACCGCTGCCATTAGTCCTGGAAGCCCTGTCCCCGCAGGCCACACGAAGAGGAAGTTTTTCTGTTTTGCTTTTTTGTGAGTCTCATATAGCTCAGGGTGAACTGACAACTGTGTGGCCAAGGATGACTTTGAACCCCTGACCCTCCTGCCTCCATGTGACAGGCATGACTGCCACAATAGATGTTCGGAGTTAGGGTTTGTTTTGAGTCAGTCTGTCCTGTAGCCCAGGCGGGCCTAGAACTCATGATCCTTCTCCTTCAACTGCAGGAGTGCTGAGATCACAGACTTGCACCTGTGCTTCCCAGGGTTTGCTTTTTAAATTGTGTCCACAGCGAAACCTGTTCTTACTGCTGTAACGAGCAGTTCCCTAGACCCCTAGCTTAGAGTACCCTAGAGCTCTCTCTGGCTGGCTGGCTGGCCTTGTCATTTTAGCCGTTCCTGAATCTGTATGGTGCCAGTGCTTAGGGCAGCTGTGGTTGTCAGCCAGGGGCTGGGGCGCGGTGCCTGACAAGCACGCCTTGAGTGTCGCCTGCACTGTAGCTTCCTCTGAGTCCCACGCTGACCAGGAGATGGCCACCTGCCCTGTCTGCCACCTCCCAGGACCTTACGTCATGTGAGGCTTTAGTGAGTGGAGTGCCCAGAAGTATGACGACTGTCACTTCTGCCTCAGGAACCGAGGCGCTCCCTCAACACTGTTCATCCTAGTCTGAGGTTCCTTAACTGTCTGCTAAGTGAGTGACCGTGAAGGAGCTGAGGTGCCCTTCAGTGGTAGAGCAGCTCCCAGCCATGTGTGACGTCGGGTGCTATCTGTGGCACCGTGTGACACTGTGCAAAGCTAGGAAGACCTGGCCAGTCTCCCGTGCTCGCCCTACCTTTGGTGGACGCTCACAGTCCCCATCTTTATTAGCGCCGCTGTCATTCAGCTTCAAGGCTCCGGTGCCCTGTGCCCTTTCCCAGGCTACCCTCCCTCGCCCCTCTGGACTCCCTCGCCTCTGGTCCCCTCCCAGAGTGCTCTCACCGTCACACGGAATGACACTGACCTGCCCGCTGACGTAGAGGCCAGCAGGGATCGGGCAGCGTGTTGAGTGACTAAATGACTAAATGTCTCTTCTCCGACTCCTGCAGCCTACTGGAGTTTTCAGCCGCTTAGGGGCCACCCCAGAGATGGATGAGGATCTGGCCTGGGACAGTGATAATGACAGCAGCAGTTCTGTCCTGCCGTATGCTGGAGTCCTGAAGAAGCTAGGAAGGGGCCCCGCCAAGGCCAGTCCCCAGCCAGCACTGACTGTCAAAGCCAAGGCCACAAGCTCTGCAACCACAACCGCTCCACGACTGCGGCGCCTGGCGCTCCCCTCCCGCCCGGGGCCAGAGAAGAAGCCGGAGTCCCTGCCCAAAGTCAGTGTCCTTCAGAGACTGGGCAAGGCTGCTGTTGTGTCTGAGGCCCAGGACAGCCAGGTCACAAGCACCAAGAGTAAGTCCTCAGCTGAGGTCAAGATGGCCATTAGGAGGACTCTGGTGGGACCCCGGGGGAGCAGCTCCATCGAGAGCCTTGGTGCCCAAATGGACCACGCAGGCACTGTGAGCGTGTTCAAAAGACTGGGCCGAAGGACCACCTAGCCGCCTGCACTCAGGGTGGGGTGCAGCATGCCACGCAGGCGGGTTCCTGCTTCCGTCCCTTCTAGCCTATGTTGAGGGCTCAGCCGCCCTCCGCAGCTCTAGATGACACAGGGCTTGGTTATCTCCAGCATTCCTGCTGCTTCCAAGCCCTCAGGCATCCAGGCATTTCCCCTGGGCTTCCATGTTCCTGTGGCCAGCCCTTGCCTGCTCCGGGACTCTCCCTCATGTCCTCTGTCCTCTGAGCATTAATGGTGGCCTTGGCAGATTCCCCCTTTTCTACCTCTCCCCAAAGCCAAGGGCCCTGCCCCTTCCATGCGGTCCACCCCCACCAGCAGCATCTGCTGCCTGTGTGCTCCCGTCCTGCCCCGCCCCACAAAGCTGTCACCTGGAGGCATTCCCTCGCCTCACCCTGTGACTTCCGGCTCTCTCCTACCCTCCCCTGCTGTGGTGCCTCTCCTCCTCTTCACTCTTTTCATTTCTCTTCTGTTTTCTGTCCCTGTGGCAAGGCCCGACCATCCGCTGCATCCTGCCTGACCCTCCTGCACCTCTGACCTCCCAGCGGCCCCCTCGTCGACGGTGGCGTCAACCCTGTAAAGACTGTTAGCCGCCTTCCGTTCCCAGGCTGCAGGGACCCTCCCCCCGATCCTGGCCTGCAGCTGGGCACCTCCGTCGCCCTGCCCTGAATGTCCTTTTCCTTGGTGGGTGGGGGCAGCAGACACTGGGGATGGAGGGGTGCTGGGAGAAGTAACGGCTGTTTTAATATATTTTTGTGACTTCCAAACTGTCCTTTTCCCTCCTTCAGCGGGAGTCACAGGTGTGTTCCTTACATCAACACAGTGTGGGGTAGGCAGTGGTGAAGAAGGAAGTCATGGTGACAGTCCATCCCCTCCCCCCAGCTGCAGTGCTCTGTCCCTGTGCCTCCCCCCAGCTGCAGTGCTCTGTCCCTGTGCCTCCCCCCAGCTGCAGTGCTCTGTCATTGTGGCTCTTCCTGTCTTTCACCTGGCACCATGCTGCCTATGGGGAGTTTGCTTTGATTTGGAGATAAGATCTAATTATGTAGCCCTGGCTTACCTGGAGCTTGCTGTGTAGACCAGGCTGGCCTCAAACTTTCAAGAGACCCACCTGCCTCTGCCTCCGGAGTGCTGGGATTAAAGGCTTTTTCTGCCATACCCAGCTGGCTTTCTTTCTTTTGTTTTTCTTCCTTTCTTTTTTCTTTGAAACCCAAGATGGCCCAAACTTGATATATAGTTGAGGAATGTGTCACTTAAAAAATTATTTTATGTGTATGAATATTTTGCCTCCATGTATGTATCAGGCACATGTGTGCCTAATGTTCATGGAGACCAGAAGACGATTTTGGATCCCTTGAGACTAAGTTAAGGATGTGTGAGCCCCTGTGTGGGCTCCGGGAACTAAATTTAAGTCCTCTGTAAGAGCAACAAGTGCTCTTAACCACTGAGGAGCCATCTCTTCTGCCCTACTTTGAGTTTCTAAGCCCCCCCCTTTTGTTTGTTTCTCTGTGTAGCCCTGACTATCCTGGAACTCACTCTGTAGACCAGGCTGGCCTCGAACTCACTGAGATCCACCTGCCTCTGCCTCCCGAGTGCTGGGATTAAAGATGTGAGCCACCACCACCTGGCTGAGTTTCTAATTCTCTAATCTCTCCCTTGAGACTTCTGACTCACGTCAGAAGTGAGATCATGTCTCTAAAAAAATAAAAAAACAAACAAAAAAGGAAAACAAGGGTCTGGGGAGATGACTCAGTGGTTAAGAGCACGGGCTGCTCCTCCAGAGAACCCAGGGTCCCAGCACCCGCACAGTAACTCCCAACCTTCGTACCTGTGCTTCCAGGGGCCCTGGTGCCCTTTTCTGGCTTCTGAGGACATCAGGCACACGCATGGCACATACACATTCATGCAGACAAAACACCCACACACGTAGACAAACAGACTTTTTTATATCACTGATTAAAAAATGAGGAGGAGTCAGGGAACTTTGTGTTTTTATATTCTTCTCTTGGATGGTGGTGACAAATGCCTTTCATCCCAGCACCTGGGGGTCAGGGGCAGGGAGCAGATCTCTTGAGTTCCAGAACAGCGACGGCTACACGGAGAAACCCTGTCTTGAAAAACCAAAAAGAATATTCTCTCATACATTACATGCAGACTGAAGTTTCCCCTCCTTCCACTCTTCCCATCTGCTCAACCCACCCCCGCTCTCCCTGAGATCCAGTCCTCTGTTTTCCTTCAAAAACAAGGACAGGCCTCCTAGGGATATTACCCGAACATGGTTTAACAAATTACAATAAGACAAACAAACCCTCGTGTCAAGGCTGGGCAAGGCAACCCAGCAGGAGGAAAAGGGTCCCAATCTAGGCAGAAGAGCCAGAGACACCCCCACTCCTACTGTTGGGAGCCCCACAGGAACACTAAGCCACACAACCATAACATGGACAGAGGACCCAGCGCAGACACACACAGGGTCTGTGTTGTCTCCAGTCTCTGTGAGCCCTATGGGTCCTGCTTACTTGATTCTGTGGGTGGTACTCTCCTGGTGTCCTCAACCCCTTGGCTCCTACAACCCTTCCTCCCCCTCTTTGGGGTTTCCCTGGCTCTGCCTCGGTTTGGCTGTGGGTCTCAGCATCTGCTCCCGTCAGCTGTTGGAGGAAGCCTCTCTGATGACAGTTGGGCTGGGTACCAATCTGTGAGTGTAGCAGAATGTCATTAGGAATCATTCATTTCATTGACTTTTTTTTTTTTTCCAATCCTGTTTGGTTCTATCCTGGTTTGCTGGACTGTCCTGCTTCTAGCCTGGGCCAGGTGTAGGCTCCAGAGGAAATGTTTCTGTTTTTCTTCTAATGCTGGGGATCCAATCTAGTGTCTCACACATGCTAATAATGCTAGCAAGTGTACCAGCTGTCTGTTTTAAAACATTTCCTTTTATAGTCCTTTTTTTATTTAAAATTTCTCCAAATGCATACTTTGATTTGTTTTTGTTTTTTAACATAATATTTTATTGAGTCTTTGGGAATTTTACAGTATGCACCCCAATTCTGCTCATTTCCCAGTCTTTCAATACCACCTCTTACCCAGGTAACCCCCTCCCTCCTTGTAATCTCCCAAAAGAAAATAAAAATTAGAAATGGGCAGTAGTACTGACGTCTTTGATCCCAGCACTGGGGAGGCAGAGGCATGAGGATTTCTGTGAGGCCCGCCTGGTCTACAGAGTGAGTTCTTGGACAGCCAGGGCTACACAGAGAGATCCTGTCTTGAAAAACAAACAAAAAAATTAGAAAAGAAAAAGCAACACAAGAAGTCCGTCTCACAGACCCCCGCTAGGCCGTGACTGCTCCTCTGTCAGCTGCCGCCCCCGGTGCCCGTCTCCTTCCCATCTCCGTCTGCCCCGCCACTTGTTCATCATAGGAGTGGCAGTCGAAGCTGGGGTGCATCAGGAAACATGCTTTGTTTTGTTTCACTCAGGCTGTCCTGGGTGGCTGAGGCTGACCTTGAAGCTGACCTTGAGACTGAGGCCTCCTCTGCCCTGCCCTCCACCTTCTAAGACTGAGCGCTGGCATTCCAGGATGGAGGCACCACTTCTCATTAAACGTTTTGATTTGGAGGTTGTGGGGTTTTATATTCATTATCCACCGCCACCTCTCTGGGTGAGGAAGTGTCAAGTCAAAGGATAACTTATGGAATGTGCTGGAGTCCGTCGTTTTCCTCCACTGTGGGTCCTAGGGGAGGGCCTTCACCCACTGAGTCATTTTTCTCACCATTTAAAAAAAGATTTTCTTATGTATATGCACAAGTTGGTGTGTGGGGTTGCTTATGTACACGAATGTCCTGTCTGCAGAGGCCAGAAGAGGGAATCAGTTCTCTTGGAGCTACAGTTACAGGCAGCAGTGAGTCACCTGATGCCGGTGCTGGGTCCTCTGCAAAAAACAGTGTCACCCACTGAGCCCTCTCTCTAGTGCCTCTTTCTGGTTGTTTTGAGACAGGGTGGGTTTCTCTGTGCAGCCCTGGCTGTCCTGGAACTCCCTCTGTAGACCAGGTTGGCCTTGAATTCACAGATCTGCCTGCGTCTGCCTCCCAAGTGCTGGGATCAAAGGAGTGTCACCACTGTCCAGCCCCTGTTTCTGTTTTTTGGACAGGATTTCCTGAAGCCTAGTAGGTCCCAAAGTCACTACGTTTTCTCTCCCACCAGATCCCACCTGTCTTCAGCCCCAAATAAGCACACAGAGACTATATTAATTTATAAACTGTTGTAAGGGTTTCTTATTGGCTAGCTCTGTCTTAATTATTAACCCATTACTACTAATCTATGTGTTTTTTTAAAAGATTTATTTATTATGTACACACACACTGTTCTGTCTGCATGTCAGAAGAGGGGCGCCAGGTCTCATTATAGATGGTTGTGAGCCATCATGTGGTTGCTGGAAATTGAACTCAGGACCTCTGGAAGAGCAGTCAGTGCTCTTAACCCCTGAGCCATCTCTCCAGGCCCTATTCTATGTATTTCTACATGGCCTTATCTTACCAGACAACACCTGACGAGTCCTATCTTTGTGGTCTCTACATGGCGTCCCGTCAACTCTCCCCAGTCTTCTCCTTGTCTCCTAACCCCACCTATCTTTCTGCCTGGCCAATCAGTGTTTTCATCAACGAATAAGAGAAACATATATACAGAAGGACATCCCCCATCACTATGTCAGGATTCAGAACTGATAAGATGAGAGCGTGTGTGATTTATTAGGAAGGTTTATAGACTCTGGTCCAGCCAGTCCATCAATGGCTGTCTACTAACAAAAGGTCCATGAACCCAGTAGCTTTTTAGTTCCTGGATGCCCCAGAATCCTAAAGAAGTCTGCTCTAATGCCAGTGAGAGAGACTTGCCGGGAGAGGGAGAGCAGCAGGCAAGCGGAGAGTTTCTTCCTCTCCACCCTTCCTATAGGCTGCCAGCAGGGGGCGTGGCCCAGATTACAGGTGGATCTGCATTAAAATTGGTGTTCCCACTTCCAATAACTTTTTCCCCCCAAGATGGTTTCTGTGTGTAGGTGTGACTTTCCTGGAACTTCCTCTGTAGACCAGGCTGGCCTAGAACACAGATCCACCTGCTTCTGCCTCTGGAGTTCTGGGATTAAAGCCATGCAGCACCACAAAAGATTTAAGTAAAAAAAACAAAACAAAAACACAGCATCTAGGTGGTGGTGGAACACACCTTTAGTCTCAGCACAGGAGTGGCAGGCAGAGGCAGGAGGATATCTGTGAGTTTAAGGCCAGCCTGATCTACCGGGTGAGTTCCAGGACAGAGCTACTTAGAGAAACCTCGTCTCTAAAAGCCAAAAAAGAACAAAAGCCCCTCCCAGGTGTGCCCAGCTTCTTGGTATTTCGTTACGTCCAGATGTAATGAAGATGGCAGTCAAGAACAACCATCTTAGTGGCTGAGGCTAGCTTTGAACTCCTCTTCCTCCTGAGCCCACTTCCCAAATGCTGGGAGTATAGTACATGTGCCACTATGCCTAGTTTAAGATTTCATAAAAAGTTTCTTTTTCTATGATACTGGGGTTTGAGCCCAGCACTTCATACATGCTCGAGGAGTATACACTCTTCACTGGAGGAGTACCACTCTTCACTGGAGGAGTACCACTCTTCACTGGAGGAGTACCACTCTTCACTGGAGGAGTACCACTCTTCACTGGAGGAGTACCACTCTTCACTGGAGGAGTACCACTCTTCACTGGAGGAGTACCACTCTTCACTGGAGGAGTACCACTCTTCACTGGAGGAGTACCACTCTTCACTGGAGGAGTACCACTCTTCACTGGAGGAGTACCACTCTTCACTGGAGGAGTACCACTCTTCACTGGAGGCGTGCCGTGATGTCGTGCTCACCTGGCCTCTGCAGGAGCATCCCTGGGACTCGCTGCTAAAGCCACTGTGGCACAGAGATGAGGAACCATTGTGGTTTGTGGGCCCAGCTCGTGGGAGATGCTGGTCTCTTGGTTTGGCAGGGATCACTTTGATTAGCCGTCTTCTAAACAGGAACTAATTTTAAGCCAGGGGAGTCCTCAAAAACTATGTGCAAATCCTTCGGCATGATGTTAAAGGTGGCAGAGTGAGGTAACTGTTGATGGAAACACAGCCCTGAGCGTCCCAGCTGCTCCGCCGGAGCACCGCCCACATTGCTGACACGGAGGTGCCTGGCTTCGGAAAGGATGCCCATTGGCCTGTTCGTCCACTTCCTCCTCTAACTCTCGGCTTCTCGGCTTCTTCACCTCCCGGAACCAGGCTTTGATGGCTTTCCCAGCGCAGTGGCGCCAGCCCCAGGCAGTTGACCTGACACCTGGAGCTGGGTGCTCTTTAGACTCAGACTCCAGCCCTTCCTGCAACCCGAGCTTCCTAGGCCTTGTCTCTGCCTTTCTGATGCCCAGCCTGGTGCCCGTTGCCCTCCTTGCTTGTAGTCTGTCCTCTCTGCCTGCCCCCTCCCCTCCCTCCACCCCAGCACAGCCTGCCCTGCCTTAACTCACTACGTAGCTGACACAGGCCTCTACCTCCTGAATGCTGCAATTACAGATCATTATGCCTGGCATTAATTTTTTTTAAAGCAGTGTTGGAGTTTATTAAGGAATCTGTGTGCCTCGTCTCCTGAAAGAGATTTACAGCTTATCAGACCACCTTGCAGCATCAGCTCAGGGTTAGTGGTGTACAGGACCACCAGTGGTCACACAGTTCTTGCCTTCTTTTTTTTTTTTTTTTTTTTTTTTTTTTGGTTTTTCGAAGCAGAGTTTCTCTGTGGCTTTGGAGGCTGTCCTGGAACTCACTCGGTAGTCCAGGCTGGTCTCGAACTCATAGAGATCCGCCTGCCTCTGCCTCCCGAGTGCTGGGATTAAAGGCGTGCGCCACCAATGCCCGGCGACAGTTCTTGCCTTCTGTTTAAACTTTACTCTCATTTCAGGATCTGGAAGATGAACTTGGGGGGGGGGTTGGTGGGGGAGGAGGGGGATCACTTCATTTTGTTTGTTTCTTTTTGGGAGGGTGTTCAAGACAGGGTTTCTCTGTGTAAGATCCCTGACTGTCCTGGAACTCAGAAGTCGAAGCTTCGTAGACCCCCCCTGGCCTCTAACTCACAGAGATCCAACTGCCTCTGGATCACCACTGTCCGGGCACTACTGCGTTCCTTTCTCCATGTGACCATCTTGAATAAGTCTCATCTTTCTGCTTTTCTCTATAAGAAAAAAGAAGAAAGGCTATTGCTGCTGGAGGAATAGCTCAGCTGGAAACATACTTGCAGCTCAGCCCAAGGACCTGAGTTCAAGTCCCAGCAGCCACATAAAAAGCAAGTGCACACATTCACAAATAGAACCAACCTTGATGGTTCCTTAGAAAAACATGGTGTCGACCTCTGGTCTACATACATTCACAGCTGCACGTTCACCCTTCCATAGACATGCAAAAGAAAAGCTTTTAAGCCAGTTCGGTACACAGCTGCAGGAGGATCACCTGAGTTTGTAGCCAGACTGTGCAGGCAGGGTATTAATGAGTTCACTAGACCCAAAATAAATGATAAGTGGGAGCTTTATTGGGGAACAACTTACACAGATGATAGTAAAGAACCACCGCAGTGTTCCTGCTCCAGCAGATGCTATCAGCAACTCAAGATGGAGTGCCTGCCCAGCGCTTCTCTCCCTTCAGGTCAGGTCCTCGCCTGAAGCCACGCCCAAAGGGGTGTGGCCACTAGCACAAATTCACTGACCTGGAGAGATGCTACTGCAAGACTGCCCTACACAGAGTGAGCAAGACTGTCTAAAAAGAACAAAAGTAAAATACAGAAGGGTTTAAAATACCAGCATGAGCAGTAAGACAAAGAGACGGGCACTTGGGAAGATGATGGCATATGGCCAAGTGTGGGTTTGTATTTGAGACAGGCTCTTGCGGAGTTGCTCAGGCTGACCTTTAAGTTCCCATCACCTTCCTTCAGCTTCTTGAGCCGCTGTGGCTGTAAGAGTTCACCACTATGCATGGCTTCTTCCTTTGTTTTTGTTTGCTGAGTTCTGGGGCTGCCACCGTGTCCAACATCATCTGGTTTTGAGTCTTCACTCTGTTGTATCTGGAGCTACTGAGGACCAGGCAGTTTCCTCAGCACTGGACTGTTGCTGGAGTTTCTTCCCCAAATAAACACACAGATGCCGCTTCAGCCCCAAATAAACACACAGATGCTATATTCATTATACACTGTTTAGCCAATGGCTAGGGCTTCTTATGGGCTAGCTCTGTCTTTATTATTAACCCATTTCTATAAATCTATGTATTTCCATATGGTCTTATCTTACCGAGAATGCCCAGACCTGTTACTCCTTCCTCTGCTACATGGTGTCTCTTCTCAGTCTCTCTCTGCCTACCTTTCCCAGAATTCTCATCTCCTAGTCCCGCCTATCTTTCTGCCTCTATTGACCAGTGTTTTATTCATCAACCAATAAGAGAAACATTTATGCAGAAGGACCTCCCCCATCACTGAACCTCTCTTCTGAGAAGTACCTGTCAGAGGATCAGCTAAGTTTGAACGTCAAAAGCTGGCAAATACTGGTCATGTGAGATTCCTGGGGTTACTGGTTCACATTT